AGAGAGAGAGAGGGGGGGAAAATTGAGATATACATATATAGAAAAAAAAAGAGGGGAGAAATGATTTTTATAATAAATTGAGAGATCGTTCTGTACGTAGGTCTGATAATGAGTATCAATCCGTGGGTATATGCTTATTTACGATAAGATCTCAAACGGGTACTTTACGGGTAGTTGTACGACGTACCCGTAGGTGTGTGCTTTTGTACGATGAGTACCCAATGGATACTTGAAACCAGAACAACATCCATCAATCATCATCTGCTGGATTTGCAGTAAGATCACAAACAATGCCATCAAGCATCAGCAACCAGTTTCAACGCTAACGGACAGAATTCCCTTGCCCTGAGTAATCCACCTCGAATTTTCCCCCATGCGTTATCGAGCGACAGTCCCGTCCACAAGCGTCATCAATCCACGGTCCCAGACATTGAAATCGTGAGCAAATCCCTTGAAATCTCGCGCGGTAGGTAACGCACCCCATTTTGGCACCAGTTTCGGGCTTTCATAGCTGAGATTTCGAGACATTTCAAGACCCTTGGGCAACGATTTTGACACTCTATACTGCGGACAGTCGAAGAATCATAAATCGCAAGACAAAGAGTCTATCTACATCGAGAATTGAAGGAGTCTGAACCGCCCCAATCCGGCAAAGCATCTCGATTCTTGCCTAAGAACAATTGCGAAAGTCTTTTGGTGACATCTGATTGCCAGCAACACATCCTGGCATTGATGACGTGAAAAGGTTCAAATCCTTGATATAGGAAAATCTCTGATCGACCCAGCGCTTACTCTGCTTGCGCTCAATGTTTCTTGTAAGCACCGCATTCAGCTTGATGCTCAGGTGAACTCTCTCAAACTGTATGGCTCGTTACCTTCACCCTAGCTATTTACACACGGACTCCCACAAAGGAAGCCAAGACGGAGATTTCATTTTAACAAGCTGCCGATTTAGCAGTTCTTGTTGGTGCATGCAAATCGTTACAAGCACTAGTACACTTAGCGGCATGCGAGTCCTTTGCTGTGCTGTGTTTCAATGATCTGGATGGTGGTCAAGGAAGCCGTACAACTTCAAATTGCCCTAGCATTGAAAAGTGCTTCTCAAAGGTCTTTCTTCCAGCTCAAAGTAGAGTAAATGGTTGGTTGGCAGGCGTCGAAGCTCGTTGTGACGTGTGACGCGCGGTATTTAAAATCTCCTTTTGGATTGAAGGTCTACACACAGACCGTAGTTGCTTGGCGGCACCGGCAGGAGACTCTTGTTGGCTGTCATATTTGAAACATATAAATTGGCATCGCTGAACTGATCTCACCGTTAGCTCTAGCAAAATATGCTCGAGCGGCTTATTTTATCATACTTAAGTGAGACTGTGTATTTTGACCAGTTCAGTTCAACAAGATAGCCAGAAGCACACATCTCATTGAAAGCAATTAGCAAGCTTGTTGAAAGTCTCAGCTTCTTAAAGGCTTTTAACTGCTTGATGGTAAGTGATATTCGAAGGATGGGTGTTTACACGACCGTCCCTCGCAGATCAAATTCATTGTCAAGAAATAATCTAAGAGCCATTGGAAGAACTTGCAATCTGAAATCATATGAGAATCACTCACACTGTTTTGGATTATTATAGGGCAAAGACGTGAGAATTACAGTCCAATGACGCGGTAGAAAGCACAACCAGAAATTTTTGAAAGAAAACCCTAAAACCTATATTCTCTCGAAGATCGGTCGCAATTACAAGCAGAAATTAAAACCGACACCAACAGGCACTTTTGGAACTTTAGGATTGCGTCTTTTTCAACTACTAACCTTAGTGCATTGGTTTCATGTTGGACCGTTGCACAGCTCCGCTTAGGTCCATTTGCTTTGAGAATTTGAAGTTTGAAGCTAGCCCAAATTATCTGGTACTCTCGAACTTGGACGAAACCTCCCTTGAACAATTCCTTGAAAGCTAAGAGAAGGGTTTACGCACGTTTAGCCTGGAGTTGTGAGAGTCTTGAACGAAAACAATCGCGACATGGATCGTACAAGTATTCAAGTGACTGTTTCCATGAGGCACAGGTCCACGATGCAACTTTGAAATCCACTGATGTGATTCCTAGTACCGCACACATTTATTATAGCTGTTGAAACTTGATTGAATTTCCAACAAGAGATCAATAGTTCGTGGATCGATTGGATTTAAGAAACTAAAACTTATTGGTTTCGGTATTACTTCCGGCAAGCCAAGAATTCTTGCATAGTGGCGCTCTGGTAAGCTATACAAAAGTGGGCGATCGATTTCGGAAAACTCATTGCGGACTCTGGTCATATTTTCTGAATTTTTAAGGATGCGATGCATCGTTAAAATTCTCCAAGCCAATTGCGACTTATCGGCCATTGAAGTGAATTCTACTTACTCACGTTCCAAAACGAATTCCTAATGCAAGAAAACATTCTCAGCTTTAAACACAAATGTTTTAATGGCCCCAATCAATGCACGAAGCTCTTTAGCTACCGTCTTGAGTCGAATTTACACACCTCAAGATCCGCTCTCAAGTGCTTTTCTTAAGATATAAGTGAATTATAGCTTTGCAAGCTGTGAGAAATTCTCATCATCATTTATAAATACTTTTTACGCACTTGTGAAAGGAATCCAGGTAGCTTTCACGATTATCAGAGTAGATATACAAGTGTGTCGTGAGAAGAGTCAGTGGTCTTTCTGACCTTGAGTTCTTCAATTTCATCACTTTTCACTTCTGTTGTCTCCGACACCAAGGTAAAGAAACTGACGTGAAAGTAAACTACATGAAAAGAGAACTCGAAAAGCCATGTTCAAACCTCGAGGATGCTAGTCTAACAAGTAAAAAGCCATTAACAAAATATTATTATCTCAAATTACTAAAATTACGTGAAGTATTTTACGAAATTCGCGTCTCAGTGTATGTCAATGAGAACAATGTGACTGTGTGTGTGTGTGTGTGTGTGTGTGTGTGTGTGTGTGTGTGTGTGTGTGTGTGTGTGTGTGTGTGTGTGCGTGTAATGTGTGTATCAGACGTGCGAGTGTGTGATTCGCACGTCTGTGACTGCGTGTTCCTAGGTGTCGTGTCAACCAGAAATTGGTGTGTTCCAGTAAGCAAAAGTAGAGAGTTTGATCCAAATTGAAACCCCAAGCACTGTGTGTGTGTGTGTGTGGTGTACCTGGGGTCCCTAGACAAAACCCTCAACAACTGCTCCTGTTCAAGTTGTGAATGTGCGTGCCAAAAATTAAAAATTAGGAAAGATGGGGGGATATCAAATGTTTAATCCATGAGTTTATCACGGTCCCAGTAGAAATGAATGAAAACAAAACTTAGTTCCCGCTTCAACATGAGCATTTTGGTTTTGGCTCAGCCATAGTCAATAAGGGAAACTAAAGGGGAAAATGAAATAAGAAAGTTTCTCAGTTCGACACCCACCGATTAGCGTGTAGGCAGACTAACGAAAAACCAATGATTGATCATTGTCCTCGTACATGGTAGTCGAACTTGAGCCGAAGGCTAGTGCTCAGAAATTGGTGATAATTCTATCGTAGCTATGGGGCTTCACGTATCTGAGCTCTAGTATTAGGGAAAACGAAGAAGAAAGTTATAAGCGTCATAATGAAAGAAAAATTCCGGGAACCGGAAAAATCATTTTAATATGCGATTAATGACCCTTCTCGTGTTGAGTGGAGACTCTTTGCATGGCAACCAAGAAGTCTTCAATGGATCTCTTTGGTGGCTCTTCCTTGAGTGGCTTACCGTTCATCAATCTGTCAAAGGCTTCAGACAAAGACATCAAGTAGTAAGCACCACCCATGACACAGAAGACACCGAAGGAGAAAATCCAGACACGGACGACAGTGACAATGTCGTTCCAGTTCTGAGACCACCAGCCGAACAAAGTGAACATGGTAGCGATGATGTCGACAGCGAAGACGGCACCAGCCAATTGCCACGATGGGATAGAAGACCAGAATGGACCAACAGCTCTGGTGATGAAAATCAACCAGTTCTCAGTCAAAGAGATTTGCAAGAACAAAACACCGTCGATAGAACCGAAGTTCTGGATAATACCACCCTTTGGAACAAACATGGTAGTCAAAGTGATCCAAGTACCGATAGCAAGAATGATTCCCAAGACAATGGACATACCCCATAGTCTAGGCAAGTTCCACTTAACAGGCTTTTGGTCGAAAGGAGCATTGTCGTAAGCAATGGCCAAAGTGGCAACATCGGCGAAAATGGCAATGAAAACGATCAAGTCAATGTTCAAAGAGTTGTTCAAAATGGCAATCCATAGACCCAAGAAGATTTCCAAGTGGAGAGACAAAGCAATACGGTAGACAACGTAAGCGTACATTCTGTGGAAAATCTGTCTGGAGGTCTTCAAAGCATCAATGATAGCAGACAAACCAGGAGCCAAGAAAACAATATCGGCAGCAGAACGGGCAGCATCGGTAGCACCTTCGACAGCAATACCAGTGTCAGCCTTCTTCAAAGAAGGAGCATCGTTAACACCGTCACCAGTCATGGCAACCAAGTAACCTCTCTGTTGCAAGATTTCAACAACACTGTACTTGTGTTGAGGGAAAACTTCAGCAAAACCATCAGCGTTTTCAACAAAGTCGGCCAATTCGGAACCTGGCATGTCACCACCACCACCTAGACCAAGTCTTTCAGCGTTGTAAATGTTAGTACCCAAACCCAATTGACGACAAGTTTCCTTAGCAATACCGACGGCATCACCAGTTAACATCTTAACTCTCAAACCTAGACGTCTAGCTTCGTTGACGGTTTGGGCAGTGTCATCTCTTGGAGGATCCATACATGGCATAACACCCAAAATTTCCCAGTGGCCTTCACCTCTCTTTCTAGCAACACCCAAAGCACGGAAACCTCTGGAGGCCAATTCGGCAACCTTGTTTTCGTAGTTTTCGTGAACATCTTCAGGGATAGGGTGGTCTTCTTCGACAGTCTTCAAAACGAACAATGGAGCACCCTTAACACAGATGATTCTTTCACCTTCTGGGGACTCAACAACAGCGGTAACCTTCTTGGAGACAGGGTCGAATGGGTGGAAGTCCAAAACCTTGTACTTAGTCAAAGCGTTCTTGGCTCTTGGGTATTGGGCCAAAGACTTCAAGAAAGCCTTGTCAATAGCGTCCAAACCCTTAGTCTTTCTGGAAGCAGCCAAACAAGCAGTCAACATCAAGTCATCTGGCTCGACACCTTCGACAGTGTAAGGTTCGTGCAAAGACAACTTGTTCTTGGTCAAAGTACCGGTCTTGTCGGAACACAAGATTTCGACACCGGCTAGAGATTCAATGGCAGACAATTTTTGGACAATGGCTTGCTTCTTGGCCAAGTAAGCAGCACCGACAGCCATGGTGGTGGTGACGACAGCTGGCAAACCGACTGGGACACCGATAATGGTGATACCCAAGGTGTATCTTAGGATTCTGACAATTCTGTCAGTTCTGTAGAAACAGGCAGTCCAGACGAGCAACAAAGTGACAATAACCAAAACCAACAAAGTCGTACCGATACCGTTCAACACTTCAGTGAAATGACCCTGGTCACCAGAGGCCTGGTTGACCAAAGCGGCAGCTCTACCGACAAAGGTGTTGTCACCGGTCGAGGTGACGATCATAAAACCTTCACCTCTCTTAACAGTGGAAGAAGAGAAGGCAGTGTCACCGTAGTGCTTGTCGACAGCGAGGGATTCACCGGTGATAGCAGACTGGTCAATTTGCAAGAAACATTCTTCAGTGACTAGACGACCATCGGCACAGATGACAACACCGTCTTCTAGTTGCATGATGTCACCTGGGACGACCTCGTTAGCTGGGATTTCGACAATGTTACCATCTCTGATAACAACAGCAGAGTTGGCAAGCGACTTTTTCAATTCGTCAACGATGGAACCGGCTTGGTATTCTTGGATGAAACCAACACTGGCGTTCAACAGCAACAGGGCAATAATGACACCGAAATCGACCCAATCTTCAAGACCGGCAGCCAAAATGGCAGCGGCTTCCATGACGAACTGGATAGGACCGATGAAGAAACCGAGGAACTTGACGATGAGCGATTCGTTTTCCTCGGCCATCTGGTTGAGACCGAAACGCTTGCGACGCTTGGCCACTTCTTCGGAGGTCAAACCGCGCGATGGGTCGGTTTGAAGCATTTCCTCTGGGATGACACGGGCCTGGCCGGCTGCCACCTTTTCGTCTTCCTGTTCTTCTTCTTCGTCGTCGTTGCCGTGGTGCGACTGCAACTCATCGATCAAGGCGTCGATGTCGTCGTCTTCTTCGTCGGACTCAACTGGAGCCACAGGCTTTTCCTTGGTAGGTTCTGTAGCAGACATTTTGAGGATACAATTATGATTGTTCTTCTTGTTGTTGTTGTTGTTGTTGTTGTATTTTTTTGGCACTGGGTAATGGGTTTCTCAACGCAGTTTTTGGTATTTTAAACCTTTAGATGATGATGATATTAATGAAAAATTGACTATCTTCTATCAAGCTCGGGACCAAAAAATTATATTTCACTTGCAGCTTTCACTTTCAAGTTCACGTCAAGAGAATCACACGGTTACTCCTGAGACCAAAATCTAACACGACAGCAGTGGTGAGAGGAAACAAGATATAAAAAGAGTCTAGAATCCAAAAGAGAGAAGAGAATATTACCACTAATACCCACTTTCCAGCCGACTAACCTGTGGGCTTTATATACTGTGGAAACGGGAACTGGGACCCAGCTATGGGAATTTAGTGCGTGAATTTCAAATTTTTTTGTTGTTTGGATTTTGGCCCTACGGGGCAAGTAAAGCGGGCGGCGTTGCCAGGCTGCTGCAGCGCCAGTGTCTGGCTCTCTACATCTGTCTGTAAAAGGACGCACGTAATCGAGAAAGCGAAAGCGAAAGCGAAAGCGAGAGCCAGAGCCAGAGCCAGAGCGAATAATAGTTTCTTTGTTTTTCTTTTGCCCTGCACAGTGGACGAGAGGAGAGGAATTCCAGTTTCCATTGCATTCGCTAACGAACGCGGAACGACGGCCGGGCCAAGCATAACTATAAAGCTATATCCCGCAGCCAATGAACGGCGAGGAAGCCAGAGGGGACGGGACACAACACACGCACTAGCACACGCACGAGGGTTTTTTTTCGATTGGATTAGAAAGAGACAGAGACAGAGAGAAAGAGAAAGAGAGCTGTTAGCTGCTAGCTGCGAGCTGCGTGTTGTACTGTTGTCAGCATGGTTGCTACGTGGTCAAAGTTGCATTTTTTTCCAAAAAAATTGAATACCTCATCTCATCTCATCTCTTCTCTACTCATCTCATATCTACTGCAATGTCTACTGCGATATCTACTGCGATAGCGCCTTGTAGCGCCTTGTGGAAAAGCTTATCATGGAAAATCTGATGCGGTGGTTGGTGGGATTGGGCTAAAATAGAGATTACCAAACCAAACACACTAAAAGCACCTCAAGGCTTGAGGTATTTTTCCAGGGGGAAACTTTTTTGGGAAAGAACGGCCGTTCAGCCCGTGGCTAAAAGGGGAAACCATAACACCGTATACGGCAAGGGCAAAACAACAGAGACTTGCTTTTTTGTTTGTGTGTGTGTGTGTGTGTGTGTGTGTGTGTGTGTGTGTTTTGTTGTCTGCCCAAAATGGCAATGCTTCTTTGTTGTTGTTGTAGTAGTAGTAGTACCAGTTGTTGTGGATGTTATTGTGGCGGGCGGGCGGCTAGAAGGAAGCGGGCTCCGAAGCGTCGGCGCTGGTGTATGGGTGTGTGGGTGTGTGGGTGTATTTTTACTTTTCCGGAAAGTCGGGAAATACACGCACCGATGACGTCACACGGACATATGGGTGTGTGGGTGACTGTGTGCTCATTTTTGACGGGTTGTGTTTGAAACCCATCTTGGCATGGAAAACCGAGAGACGTGCCACACAAGGTGGTGATGGTTGGGTGGTTGGGACCAAGGGTCGCACAGCTTGGCTTTTGGAACGTTGGGAATTGTTGTTGTCTGTAGCTACTTGTTCCGAGTTGTAGGTCCTTGTTTTTAGCTACTTGTTTCGAGTTGTAGATCCCTTGCTTGTGTTTATAAACGAGACCCGTGGAATATTATCGTGTTGTACGGCTCTTTTCTTGGCTTCTTAATGGTCCGTATCGTTATATACGAAATCCGTCACTAGTGTATTCCCATTTTCATGTTTTTGCCCTCCACATCGACATTACAAGAAACAAACTTGTCAGAAAGCCTTATGTGTCATAAACAATACAAACCTTTCTGTACTCACAAGTAAGACTCATTTTCAATAGTCACACACGCCCACCGCCGTGTTTTCACAAGCATTAAAGCCTAGTGAACTCTACATAACCTTCGCTTGTAGCTTGTTTTAGCCATCGCTGACGCTCTCAATTCTTCGTCTAAGCTTATACCCTGTTGTAGCCACTCCCCTCTACATGCACAACTCTACATATCCCATATGCACCGAACGATATCACCAGCATCTCGAGGTCGTGAAAAGGTATCACAAATCTTTACGACAACGCAGCGCGCCAATCTTTCCAAAAGCGGAACGCAACGCAAGACAATGCCAAAGCTGGTTGCACCTAAAATAAGTGGTCACACTCATCGCAAGCAAAAGTTTTGATAGTTTTATTGTTTAGGAAGACTAAACACACTAAACACACTAAACACGTTAAATACGCTTCTAAAGACGCTTTAACACGCTTTAACACGCTTTAACACGCCTTACGTAAACCCGTATCGTTATCTTCCTTGTCATCTTCAACGTCATCTTCATCTTCGTAAGTACTCTGCGACGAAAAAACCATCCACCGTCCGCTACTGCAACATTTTGGAAAGATCTCGCTGGATCTTGCACTACATGGTTTCCGTCTATTTATGTAGCCTCTTTCTTGTCCCCTCTCTCTCTTGAACATTCACACTACCCCCCTCTCTCTTGAACTACCACTATTCTCGCCCCCCCCCCCCCCACCATGACTTATCCTGAACAATTCCAAGGTTTCGCTACCAACGACCCAAAAGACTGGGCTCATCCAAAACTCACCAGCTACCAGCCCAAGAACTTCGAAAGTCATGATGTGGACATCGAAGTCGAATGCTGCGGTATTTGTGCTTCTGAGCTGTTTGCTCTTCAAAACGGTTGGTCTCACGAACCCATGGCTTGTCTGAGCTCCAAATACGGACCCAAAACGCAAGTGGTAGGACACGAAGTGGTGGGAAAAGTCGTGGCCGTTGGTCCCGACGTCACACTATGCAAGATCGGCGATAGAGTCGGTCTGGGCGCCCAGGCCTCATCCTGCATGCAATGTTCCCGATGCGCCTCTCATAACGAACAATACTGTCAGAAATCCGTTGGCACCTACTGCTCCTCATATCCCGATGGCTACGTCTCCCAAGGTGGATACGCCTCCCATGTTCGCGCTCACGAACAGTTCTGTTTCCCAATTCCACCAGAAATCCCTTCCGAGCTTGTGGCACCTTTGCAATGCGGTGGGTTGACCGTGTATTCGCCAATCAAGCGTAGCATTGCCGGCAAGACAAACCCAAAGGTCGCTATCATTGGTATTGGTGGTTTGGGGCACATGGCCATCATGATCTCCAAAGCCTTGGGTGCTGAAGTGTACGCCATTTCTCGTGGTTACTCCAAGAAAGACGATGCCATGAAAATGGGCGCTCATAAGTTTGTCGCTACAGGGGAGGAGAACTGGCAAAAGGGTCTTTACGACGAGTTCGACTTGATCTTGAACTGTGCGTCTTCCACCACTTCCTTGGATCTCGACAATCTTTTGCCCTGCCTAAAGGTCAACTGTAACTTTATCTCTGTTGGCCTGCCACACGTTGACGAAGACTTCAAAGTAAAGCCATTCACGTTCTTCAAAAACGGTTGCAACATCGGTTCTTCCAAGCTAGGCTCTAGAAGCGAGGCCATTGAATTGATGGATTTGGCAGTGAAACATAATTTCAGGCCTTGGGTCGAGACTATCCAGGTCTCTGAAGCCGGTGTTTCTGAAGGCCTCACTCGTTTGAATGACGGTGATGTTAAATACAGATTTACCTTGACCGGTTTCCACGAATTCTTCAACACTGGTAAGCAGTAGAGTCAACAGCTCATACCAGTTAAAGGCGTTCACCAACAGACAGACTAGCTTACAATGGCTTATATAGTAGGCGAATATATAGACAACCTCGAGGGTGTACTTCTACAAGTTAACGTCTTTAGAGACAAAAAACGACACTTTTGATAAGCGGGAGAGAGGGAGGCCCTCTTAACCATCTTCAAGGCTCTTGGAGAAGTCGGTAAAGAGTGTCTCAGCAGGTAACTCTTGCGACTGACTATACTGAAATTTCGCATCAATTTGAAGTACTAAAAAAAAATGTGGACTAAACCGGAGTTGAACCGATGACCTCTCCCATGCGAAGGGAACGCTCTACCAACTGCGCTATTAGCCCGTTAAGCTACAAGAGCAGCATCACAATGAACGGCAAACAAACAAGCATTATAGATTTGTTTTATTGGTCACACGACTTATGAAGATCATCACGACTCCGTTCCCAGTATTCTCGTTACACCATCAATTTTGTTGTCATGAGATTTGAAAATTGTTAGCATACAAATGTGGGGACCAACACTGGGCACTAGAGTGTCATATATCCACCGTAGTGACTAACGTCCTAGCTGTGTGTAAATAGATCTCGTGCTGAAGAGGCATCCTAATATACACATCGGTTCATCCCAATCTTCAACAACTGGGCCTTAATGGCTCAGTGGATCTGAAGGCGCCTCTTGGGTAGCCTAGAACTGGGCGTGTAACTCAGTTGGTAGAGTGCTCGCTTTGCATGCGAGAAGTCATCGGTTCGACTCCGGTCTCGTCCATTTATTTTTTAATTTTTTTTCAAGCCGGGAGATCAACAGACACACTATTACAGGCATCATATCTGCCAAGATCACGGTTCAGAGTTCCATGATACGTTCGAGCTGGGATTTTGAGATTTGATTTTCGATTATTTAATAAATTAGTAGAAATGTACGTATGTGTCTATGGCGCCACTTGACTCTGAAACTGGATTTCATTCATTTTTGTTTAACACTGACATGGACTGTGAATATCGTAAGAATCAATCGTAAGAATCAACCTCCAAGCGAAGGAATTAGAGATCTTATTTGATCTCAACCCATTGTCTTATAACTAATTGCGTGCGGATAGGTCGAACTTATCGCTTTCTATAATTGCGAATCAAAACACGGTCTAACACGATTACCATTGCCGAGCTCAATTGACAAAACCGAGCATAACGACACATATTTGTTTTGACTACAAAACTGAGAACATATCTTCCAAGTTTTCATAAGAAACGGTAAGCTTCAATTGTCACGTATCCGGCCAGCGCCATTCAAGAAACTCTCATTATCATTATTGTTAAGATCCATGAGGAAGTCCTGGAATAATAGAGTCTGCCATCTAATAATAATTAAGGTACCCCAAACAACCCGTTTCCAACCCGTTTTCAGCCCGCTTTCGACCCGCTGGGTAGGTTGTCGTACGATGATAGTACTCGCCTGCTACCCGCTTTTGGCAGGAGCCAATAATAACAGAGTCACGTGACACTTGGAATCACATCGATTTGGCCTCTAGCAATTCCCAAAGTACCCGGAAACTTTCCCTTAATCTCCATGCAACCATTTCCAATGCCGCTTTTACTGCTTTAAACTCTCTAGCAACGCCCGGAATCCCAAAATTTGAAAATATCAAGAATTTACCAGTCAAACTCTCCCAGACATGCCTTTTTTTCAAATTTTGACTCGGTGAAGACCAAACAATAAGGCCAACAACCAGAACCACCAGGCCACCACGTTGGCAATCCTCTACATTGTCCCGATTCCTCGCTCAAATCTTTATTTTATCATGAACGCCAATTGCTGACAACGCTTATCGCTCTAATATCTTAGTTTAACGCTTCTCATTCCGAATTGGGAAACATTCAAGAGCTGATAAGGTCACATGGACACTTTTTTCAAGAAATCGCATATAAAGGATCAAATCCTCGAGCATCAACTTCGTTAGCACCAATACCATACCTTTCCCTTTACCATACCACACACTCTGCAACGCGGACTGTACTCTTTATAGAACCATATAACTTACTTTCATAATCGCCCCAATGTCTCAAGGTAGAAAAGCTGCTGAAAGACTCGCAGGTAAAACTGTGTTCATCACCGGTGCTTCTGCGGGAATTGGGCAAGCCACTGCTTTAGAATATCTAGACGCATCCAACGGAAACTTGAAACTTATTCTGGCAGCCAGAAGACTGGAAAAGTTGCAGGAACTGCAACAGACCATTCAGAAAAGCTATCCTGAGGCCAAGGTCTTCGTTGGTCAATTGGATGTGACAGAAACTGCGAAAATTCAATCTTTTGTGGACGAGCTGCCCGAAGAATTCAAGGACATAGATATTCTGATCAACAATGCCGGAAAAGCTCTGGGATCTGATCCTGTGGGCAAAATCTCGCCTCAGGACATTGCTGGGATGATGGACACCAATGTTTTGGGACTCATCAACGTCACACAAGCAGTGCTACCTATTTTCCAGGCTAAAAATTCTGGAGACATCGTGAATTTGGGTTCGGTCGCTGGCCGCGAAGCCTATCCAACAGGTGCCATCTATTGCGCCACAAAACACGCGGTGCGGGCATTCACGCAAAGTCTCCGCAAAGAATTGATCAGCACAAAGATTAGAGTCATCGAAATCGATCCCGGTAACGTGGAAACTGAATTCTCCATGGTCAGGTACAAGGGCGACTCCGACCGTGCCAACAAAGTTTACGAGGGCACCGAACCTCTTGTTGCCGAAGATATCGCCGATTTGATCGTATACAGTACATCCAGAAAGGCTAACACGGTCATTGCAGATGTTTTGGTCTTCGCTACAAACCAGGCCTCTCCATACCATCTGCACCGTAATTGAAAAAACAACATCAATATTATAATTACATAAAACAGTTAAAACCTTAACCAGAAGGTACCTGAGTCTTCAATGGTCGGGTGGCGAACTTTTCATCAAATTCGGTAAAGTCCACATCCTCAGTGTTACCTGTCATTTCCTTGTATTTTTCAATTATGGCCTTCTCCAACTCCAAAGAGTCGAGGTAAACCAACGATTCCTCAGTGTTGTATATTCTTGCATTGGCAAAAATCAAATGAAAATCTTCCAAAGCACCTTTCAGTGACCCGTATGATTTGGATTCGATATGACTCATGACATTCTCGAATGCAACAGGGTACCTTATCAACTTGTAATAGTCTGGGTACAGTTTCTTGGAGGGTTTCACCAGGAAAATGTCTGCTAATCGTCTCTCGTCTTCGTCCTCGTATTTTATAGCATAGTCAAACAGCTTTCGTGCTTCTTGAGCAACGCGAGTTCTTTCTTCCTCAGATTGAGTCAAAACAGATTTGTCCCTAACGTACGTGTTTCCCGTTTTTTTATCCATCGATCGTGGTGGGCGGCCCCTACCGCGCGGCTTAGCTTTAACCTCGAGATTCGATTTTATTGACTTCTGTCCGGTTGAAGGTAATATTGCTGATGCGCCTTTATCACCCGCTGGTTCCACTGATTGGCTTTCATCCACATTTTCAGGTTCTTCTGTTTCTAGTTTGACTTTTTTGTTTTGAGTGGAAACTTCGCTGGCACTTCGTTTTCTATCGACGCTCAATTCATTGATATCCTCATCCTCATGATCACTGACTTCAAATTGTTTGAGCCATTGCTCCTCACTGACCTCATCATCGTACAGTGCTGTTTTTCTTTCTCGAGAGCCTCTACCGCCTGCCAGCACTTCATCCTCGTCTTCCTTCTTCAGCTCAGCCTCAATATCCTGATGGTAGATGTTGGGCAGTTCAGCTGTTTCCATCAGAGTAGTCGTTATTCCATTTTCGAGATGTTTGCGACTGCGCTCTTCGTCAATGTCTGCAAAAACTTTGAGCTCTTCCTCGTTTCTTGCTAAAATCTCATTCAGTTCATTGTCGTCAATCTGTTCGTCCTCTTCAAGTCCTAGCTCACGCTTTTTCTTCAAGCTTTCTTCGGCTTCGAGTAAGGATCTTAGTAAAGCCTCTTGTTCCTCTGCCGTGGACTTGTTGTCAAACTTACCGGCCTGAATAACTTTTCCGTCAATATCTAGCTTTTTGTGAGCACGATCCAAAATTACTTCCTCAACCGAGTTCTCTGTAATCAATCTTAGAATTCTTACCTCGTTCTTTTGTCCAATTCTGTGTGCCCTGTCTTGCGCCTGTAAATCTTGATGTGGGTTCCAATCAGTATCAAAAATGATAACCGTGTCGGCAGTTTGCAAATTCAATCCGAGCCCACCAGCTCTGGTGGATAAGAGGAAACAGAAATACTCGGAGTTGGGCTCATTGAAGAGTCGCAAAAGCATACTACGATCATCAGACTTGGTATGGCCATCCAAACGTAAATATTTCAAACCCAGCAACCTGAGAAAATCTTCCATTATATCCATGATCTGAGTCATTTGAAAGAAAATCAAAATACGGTGATTTGTCGCTTTGAACTTTGGCAAAATCCTTTCTAGTAACTCGAACTTCCCAGCAACACGCCATATATTGGCGTTCGTTTCTCTTGTAGGATTAATTTGATCCTCAACCTCTTCGAACACAAACGGGTGATTGCAAATCTTTTTCAGCTGCATGATTTGGTTATTAAAACCGCGTAAAGTAACGTTTTTGTTGTTGCCTGTGATATCACCCGCAAACAAACGACGGTGTTTCAGCATCAATTCGTACAATTTTTGTTGCAACCCGCTCATCTTACATTTGAGAACTTTTTCGACTTTGTCGGGAAGCTCCTTCTCCACATCTTTCTTTAATCTTCGCAGCAAGAAGGGACGCAACACCTTATGCAGTCTTCGAATAACTAAAAGAGTTTCTTCTTCGCTGAGCGCTATTTTATCCTGACCACCGGTGTTTGCAAATGGCGTGTTAAACCATTCGTCAAACGACTTCACAGAGTTGAAAATTTTGGGCAAAACGAAGTTCAACAGGGCCCAAAGTTCCGGCAAATTGTTCTGCAAAGGTGTTCCGGTCAAAATTAGACGATAATCTGTGTGATAGTAATTATTCAAAGTCAAAGATAATTTCGACTGCGCATTTTTCATACGATGTCCTTCATCGATAATCATGTGTATCCATTTGATTTTTGAGAGTAAACTTCTCTCCTTGATAATGTATTCGAAAGTAGTCAATACGACATCGAATTGACCAGAACGGATGATGCCCTGTTTGGATTTCCTCTCGTTGGGGGTACCCTTATAAGCTACCATTCTTATAGCCGGGGCCCATTTCCCAAACTCTGAGTCCCAGTTTGTAAGAGTTGAAAGTGGCACAATGACCAAAGAGGGACCACGTACATTTTTTACTTCATAAAGGTAAGTCAGAAGTGAAATTGTCTGGATCGTCTTACCTAGACCCATTTCATCGGCAAGAATTCCGTTAAGGTGGTTATTGTAAAGCGATACCATCCATTGTAGCCCTTTTAATTGATATTCTTTCAATGTGCCTCCCACAAGAATTGACGGTTGGACTTTGACTTCCTCCTTTATGCGATGTGCTACATTGTAGTAATCAATATTCTGCCGTTCGTCTTCGTCGTGGACGTCGGGCGAAGAAGTGATAGTATTTGTATCGTCAACGATACCTTGCTCGATGTTGACATGTGAATCAATCTTATCCCTGGTGTATTGTTGTTGATCTTTAACAGCCTTGGTCAAGGAATCTAAAAATGCATTGGTTTGTTTGAGCAAATGGGTAATTCTGGTATCCTTAGTTTGGTCCAACAATTTGATGTATGCTTCTTCATCGTTCGCCTTCAAGGCTTGTAAACGCTGCTTAGCATTTCTTTCGACACGTTTTTGCTCTTCCTTTTCGATGTTGGCATGCAGCGACACTAAACGATGACCATATTTGACTCTCTGCGTCCGACGGCTTAGTCTGTTAGTGTAACACGCAATGGAACTGTCTGCAATGCTTTTCAGTCTAGTGATGTGTTCACGCTCACGACGCTGGCTTTGTAACACCTCGTGTCTCTTGTACAGTTCGTCTGTCAGCAAAGCATCTTGTATATTAACCCTTCTTATTTTTGATAAGAAGTTAGGATGGGTGTTGGTCAAAAGCGCCTTTTGATACCATTCAAACTGCAAAACATGGCCTCTGACAGCCTTCTGAAATGGTAATAACTGTAGCGAATAGTAGTCACTCTTTGCCGATTCTTTCGAGGCTGCGGAAATCTCATCGTTCAATAATTCTGAAAGACAAGAGTCCACTGCCGTATCAATATCAAGAGCGATCAGGGTTTGATAAACCTCCATTGCGCAGTGGACATCAATACCAGGGGGTAGAGTCCCTGGTTTCAAGGTTAGCATCGGATGTGTTTTACTGGGAAAGAGCTGGTGGTAATGGACGGGCTCATCTATTGGTGGAGGAAGTGTATAGCAGTCCACAACGTCCGACGCATTGATATTCACAATTTTCTCGATTTCGGGGTTGAGTTTGCGGAATTCCTCCAGCGCAATTGGGACCTTAATCGTATTGTCCTTTTCTTGTTCGACTTTGGCAATGTTATTCTCACCATTATCTGAAACAGATTTACGGCTAGTGATGCTGGTAATCTCTTCTTCTGCTTTTGGAGGCGGTGCATTCAGATCGCCATTGTATGAAAAGGATTTAGCTGCGGTTGCTGGTGAGCGCCCATCAAAATCACGAGTCTCTGAGCCATATTGCCGCATTTGTTCTTGATGAACCTTTGGCGACGCTTGAACAGGAACTTGCACTGGAGCCTGTGCTGGTACCTGCGCTGGAATTTGGGCTGGAGCTTGCAGTGGAGCTTGTGCTGGAGCTTGCAGTGGAGCTTGTGCTGGAGCTTGCAGTGGAGCTTGTGCTGGGGCTTGCAATGGAGCTTGTGCAGGAGCTTGAGCCGGAAACTGCTGAGACGCCTGAACTGGAGATTGATGCTGAACCGGTGACTGGTTTACATGTGGTATTGACTGTTGAGTTGCATGATTGGAGTTGAGCAAGCTACTGGGCCTCGATGAGCTTGTGACATGCTGTTGAGTCGTCTGCCTTTGCTTAACGGTCTCACTGAGCTCCAGCAGCATTTGTTTGAAGTTGGGGGGATTATTGAGAGATTGCTGTATGACTTCTTGGGTTTCGTTGGGCACGGGCTGTCTACTCAGCAGATATCGTAAAGAAGTGATTTGAGCCTTGAGTAGCTCTGATTGTTCGGTTGTGAAGAGTGTTTGTCCTGGCGTTCCCGGAAGGTTTGGCGAGTTTGAAGACACCGGACCTAAAGGCGGTACATTAGGGCCCGATGGTTGAGCCACAGGACCTTGTGCAGAGCCATCATTTGGGACAGAATTTGTTCCGTTGGAGTACGTTGAGTGTACAGCTTGTTGTTGTTGCTGTTGTTGCTGTTGTTGCTGTTGCTGTTGTTGTGGTAGCTGCTGCTGCTGTTGTTGTTGTTGTTGCTGTTGTACTTGTTCTGCTTGATGCGCGTTAGGTACCCAATGTGCAGGTGGCGCCTGCAGTGGCGAATTAGGCTGTCCCTCAGAGACCCCTTGACCTTGTGGATTAGAATTAAGTGGTACATTTGGATTCTGATTTGATTGTTCTAATGTCCGCTGCTGCTGCTGCTGCTGCTGCTGTTGTTGTTGTTGCTGTTGTTGTTGTTGTTGTTTGGCCGCAACCCGAAGAACTTTGGTGAAGTATATGAACTCAGGTATGGTCGAAACATTTTCACCGTGCTCATTACGCAGTTGTTGCCATCGCTGTGTCACTGTTGTTAGTAAACTTGTCTGCTTTCATTAGATGCCTACTTCTAATCACAAATCTCTCAAAAACGCGTCAAAATTGCCGCTGGAAAACATACCAAGTAGCACCGGTTTATCTCTTCTCTCGTGAGCTGCCTCTGCGGTATCTCCATGCCCTCCATGGCGCTCTTTGCTGTGTTTTTTAGCCTTTTGAAAGTTTTGAATTCACTTATTTTGTTTTTATAGATCGATGAGTTTAAGTTTAACTAACCTAATTTGAATATTATAGCATACGATTGAAGAAAGCATCTCAACAACCACCAAAGGGTCCAGTATATGAGAACCATAGCCAGACACCGTTTGAAGTTCAAGACCCAGTTGACAATAGTCAAGAAAAATGTCGATCAACGGACTGACGGTAGGAGACAATGGCTATTCAGTGCCCTTTCTGCCCTTAGATATGGAAATAATAGCATACAATGCTGCTCCTGTGGTAAAGATGAAAGTCTGGCCTGTTTCAGAAACTGACGCTAGACGCAACGATAAGAAGATCATCCGCCTTGAAGGTCGTCTATTTGTCACCTCTCAACGATTGATATTTTTCAATGATGATCGAAATAGCCAAGATATTCGTAATCTTGTAATATTATTCCGGCAGCTTACACTGTCAAAAGAAAAAGATAGTCCCATCGACCTGATTATGCCGTGGTTTGGAGCGAACTCGCTTAAATTCGAATTTCGGATTCTATTAGAACAAGTTCTGAACAATGGACCCTGGCTCGATAGCTCGTATACGTGGCGATGCGAGCTCACATTGGAAAAACAGTCCCGCGCAGTTCGCGATATTTTCCAGCTGCATGACGTTATTAATGGTGCCTTGGCTTCTAACTCTGTTCGTAGTCCGCCAGGGCATGGTGGAGACGAGGAAGAAGAAGGCTTACCCAAGTACGCTCCGTAGTTTGCTACTTCAAGGAATTCACTCATCACCCTCACCGCCAAACAGCATCATCATGTCCATGTCATCCTGATCGAGCTCCTCGGCTGGTTTCTGCTCGTCGCCATTGTTATTTGTGGTGTTCGCAACGTTCGAAACCTCCTCGTCGTCTTCATCGTCGTCTTCGTCATCTTCGGCTTCCTCGTCATCGTCGTCGTCATCATCGTCCTCATTTTCAATCTCGTCAGGAGCCGCGCTCTGAGAGTTACTGGAGGTGGATTCACCGCTGAGCTTCAGTTGTTTCCTCTTGAGCTCTGCTTCCTTCTCCATTTTCTTTATACTGTCAATGAATCTTGACTTTAGAAGTGGGTTTGTTGCCTTTTCTAGCTTTTGTCTATTCTGTTGTAAAGTAGTCTCAAGCTCCTCCAATTCGTCTCTTAGAAGTTCCGTGTGTTGAAGGCTTTCGTCCACCGTTGGTTTCGCAACGTTTGCTACCATATCAAGTCCTCCCTCGGGTTCTTCTTCCTCACCGTCTTCTTCTTCCTCTTCGTCCTCTTCCTCTTCATCTTCTTCCTCTTCATCCTCCCCGTTATCTTGTTCAACGTCGTCTCCCGTTTCCTCGACGGCTTGTTTACGCATATCGGCGGTCATTTGTTCAACGCCTTGGCGATCTTCTTGCAGCGCTTGTTCTAGCTCCAATTCCAAATCTTCGTGGTCATCTTCGCCAAACAAATCGAACCCGTCGTTCACAGAAGATTGCGACGGTACATCATTAGAGCTTGCTCTTTGTTGCTGCAAAGAATCCTCGTCAATCAGATCATAAGTAAAGCCCTCTACCTCCTGATCTTGTCGTAGCAAGTACTCGACTGTTTTCTCCACGTAGTCGACTTCCTGTATCGCGAGCCGACGACGAAACCTTCGGTTGCGGACATTATACAGTGGTGGAGTAATTCCGTGCTTGTAATCATATCCCTTTTTGACTATTTCCTCCAGATGACTAGCCTCGGTGTCTGTCAACGGACCACCATTAAATCCATGAAATGCCAGTTTCTTGCATTCTTCAATCTCCGTTTTGTATTCATTATAATGCTTCACAACCAGATCCTCTGCGTCCGGTGCTATGACTGAAAAGACTTCCTCATCGTGTTCAATAGGCTTGACGCACAAGAGCATTTGCGATACGTCGAACGCCTTTATGAGATTTTTCCGATCGACACTTTTGTTTACTTCAATGACCGTGGGCAAATTGACAAGAACCGCACCGTACATATGGCCATTAATCTTGACCACTGCGTGTCTTTCGCCCTTCCATTTCAAGCTTATACCGGAAAAATCACCACTTTCCGTGCAATTCTTTACAAACTCTGTTTGGACATCAGGTAGCACTCGAAGCACGATACCATCCTCAATCAGTGGGTCGTCTTCGATGTCAGAAGCCTCCGAATCGTACCCTTCCCCCGGTACTCTTACAGGTTTTATTCTAAATCTAGGCGCTTTTGGAGTCGCTGAACTCGCAGAATTCGAATCTTCTCTGTGGTTCAAATTGATTTTTAATTTCATGGGCTGCGATCCCTCCCTTTCAGAATCTTTTTTAACATCTGCCTTCTGTTTCAGCTTCACCTTCAATGGACCATTAGATGTATTACTTGATGTACCGCCCTCGTTGCTGCTTTTTGATTGCTTGTTTTTCGGTCTTTTCGGCTGAGGCTCATTTGGTAGAGTTTCTGAAGCCCTGGAGCTCTTAATCTTGATCTTAGGCATCGATTGGAATACACAGGTCCATCAACTTTGTCTGATTTGTTGTTACGATGCTTGATGTTCTTGAATTCTGACTACATAAGTTGTAATTATTGATTTATGTCAAGCTCATCTCATAATCATCTCATCATCTCAAAGAAAGCTTGTTAGAAAAAAGACCTGTATAGTTGGAAATCTCACTCACGACAATTGTTCAGTCCGCTCTTTAACTGAATATGTCATTGGTAAACAAATCGGTGCGAGAGCTTTCGCAAATCCAACATTTCTACGGTTTTCGTTACGTCTTGAATCCGCTCATTCACGAACGAATATTCGACAAGTTGAAGGTATCGAAGCTGTACCCACACTCAGACCGTCTCAAAGTCTTGGATCTTTATCCAGGTCCCTCGCAGCATTCTGCTGTCTTCTATAATCGGTATAAACCTACTCAGCATGTATTGATGGACTCGAGGCCCGATTTTGTCAAGCACATCTCTGAGTTCATTGTACACAATAAAGGCTGCGAGTCGGCCATGCAACTATACAAGCACGATCCGTATGATTGGCAAGCGTACACTGACTTGATAGAAGTAGACAAGATTTTGACTCCGAGCACCATGGGACGTGAGTCCATTCACGACAAATTCCTCGTCATGGCCAATCTAACCGGTATGATAGGTGAGGGCCTCTTCATGCAATGGCTGGCCTGTATAGGAAACCGTAATTGGCTGCAGCGTTTCGGCCGTGTCAGAATGCTTGTATGGGTCCAACAGTGTACAGCTGTCAAACTTCTAGCGAAGCCCGGGGATCAGTTAAGGGCCAAATGCTCCCTAGTGACCGAAGCTTTTACAGAAACCAAACTGTTGGCTGCTGCCACAAACACTAAGAAGTTGAGTGGAAACTCAAAAATTTCTGAGAGCATGTTGGCCGAGCATCAGCCGGTCATGTTCGAACAACAGGACGTGTGGCCACCAAGTGGTAAGCCCATCTGTCTTTTGGAAATCAACCCAAAGAATCACACAATCGAACTCGACAACTTCGACTATGTTTCTAAGCATATGATGATTCTGAAAAGCACACCGCTGTTTGATTCATTGGATTCACTTGGCCATGGCGGCAAGGAATACTTTCGAGAGGTCGTCAAAGATCAGAAACTTCTTGCAAAGTGCCCAAAGGATTTGACGCTACACGAGTTTCTGCATATTACTGAACTATTTGATAAGTGGCCATTCAAGCCTGACATCTACTTGGACTTTATAGACGTGTTCCAAGAAAACGATTAGATTTCGCAACGTCGATAGAATTGCGAGTCTGTTTGATCGATGAAAGCTCAGGCGCGCTGCTCAAGGTACTTCCGTCTCGAAATCCAACCTATTCCTGGTACACAGACCCTGCGCAAGGGTTTACCGTGTTTGTCATAGAGAGGTACATTTTCGAGTGATGCGTCCAGTTCAAGTGAAGTTGAAAGGTGCGGGTCTGTGAGAGATGTTACTCCGTTGGCTGTGAGATTGTGGTGAGCACAAGTTCGTTCCTCTTGTGGAATTTGCTTAAATTTGTCTCTGCTGATATATGTCTTCCATTCTTTTCTGCCCTCTTTCGTTGTCAGGTCAAAAACTAGGGCTCTGTTCTTAGGCATGAGATTGATCGAAACTTCTTTCAATGCGATACCCGTATCCACGACGTTAGTCAACTCCTCGTTCTTAAGTGTCACATCAGCTTCTTTTCCATGACTCTGCACTTTATCGCGCGCCTCTGGCGTTTTACCATCAACCCTCGTCTCACCGAAACTAGAGAAACTGCACCGCTCACTCAAATTTGCCTCAAGCTTTGAAAATGGATTTAGCTCGCGGTACTTGCCTATGATCTTGCTTCCAAATCGACTCAATTGGCCCATCGATGGGCGGAAGCCGGAAATGCGTAAATTCTTCAACGGGCGACACCTCGACAATATTAGCTTTTCTCTCAATTGCTCGAGCCGTGTAGTTGAGGACAGCATCCAAGTTAGAAAGAATAGCCCCATTATGAAGCTCGCGGCTTTTGACTTGAATAGCATTGCACTCTCGGCAGTGGGCAACTCCAACTCAAATGGAAACTGAGATCTCTTGGCTTTACGAAGATAGGAAAGCTCTGCTCTCAATAGACAGTTGTAGTAATCGAGGATCACTTCCTCTTCGGATAAAAATGAGCCAAGAGCTTTACGGTTTTTGATATCAACAAGACAGGTATTTACCTTCCTTGAAAATTGATTTGCAACCTCAGCTTTAGACCATTCGTGAAAGCATATACCCAAGGACTGTCCATGGTTCTCTTTATCCAAAAGAAAGCGGCTCAGTTGACCTATCTCGAAAGTCGTCGGTGTCACTAAATTCTCATGGGTATGCATGCTGTTGAGTTTGGGTGTCTCATTTCGAATACTGAGAAAGAGGAAGCAAAAGCAGTGCAAAAGTAAGCATGTTGTCTCGATTAGCGTTGCCATGGTATAGATGTGTAAAGAGTAAGCAATCTGGAGTTTAGACTCTCTTGATGATCTTCATTTGTGATAAATAAGTATATATTTAAGACGCTGTCACTGACATTAACTCCAGATGTAAACACAAAGTTGCCCACATAGTCAAATGCAAAACTGCCATAAATCAGGATTCTTGGAACTGAGGGAGTACGGGTATAAACAAGTAGTCTTTGAATTGTATCTTTTTGATAATAATTTACAAGCTAAATATCGAGGCTAATTGGTAGCAGAAGATTTATTCTCAAGCTTAGCCGCATATTCTGATGCCTTTGCCTTCACATATTCCGCAGTCTTCGCGTCATCGCTGTTTTCCTCAAAGTCGAGCCATTTGCCAAAGAAAAACTTTGCCTGTTTTCTGGTCAGTTTTCTATTGATGATTCTCTCGAAAAGGTCCTCAACTCTCTTCTTCTCTCCTGCTTTGATCTCCTGGTCAACATACACGTTCCATAGATCAATTCTCTTGGGGGTGTCAGCCAGGATACCCTCGAAAAGCGAGCGACCCTGTTCCCGATCTCCCTTAGAGAATTCCAGCTGGGCAAACTTCCGCACAACCTCGACGTGGGAACGCTTTGGCAAAGCTTGCAATGCATTAGCCAACACTTGGCGGGCTTCTTCGTTTTGGTTTTTTTCGATCAAATATTCGCTCCATGAGACCCAGATACCCACTTTCTCGGATCCGAATTTCTTGGCCGTGGCCTTGAAGAGAGCGTTTACTTTTTCAGTATTATGACTCATCTGGTAGATGCTGATTAGTTTGGTGTGGATGACATAGGAGTCCATGTACTGGCATGCCTTGGAAAAGACTTCTTCCAAGGACAAGTCCGTGCCAAAAGTGTTCTCCAAGTTGAGCAAGGCAATCCAGATGTTCAATTTTTCTGCCTCTTCTCTAAAATTGATCGTTTTCAGTGCCCGTTCGGCCACCTCTCGAGCCTTGTCGGTTTCGCCCAGCTGAAGCTGAAACGCCATATAGTTCATCCAGACAACAGAGGAGTTAGGGTTACCCATTATCATTCGCTCAAAGTCACCAACGGATTCAGGTGCGCGTGTGTTAATATCAATGGTTTGATCCTCAACATTCGCAGCCGTCTTTCTCTTCTTGTTTTTAGAGCGCTTGGAATCCGTGAAATCTTCTTCTTCCGAAGACTCGGAATCCTGAGCTTGGTCTAAAATACTGGTAGTCCAGTCAAAGTCGGCGCTTAAGCTTAGGCCGCCAGTCAATCCCGACTTCGCATTTGGAGCCACAGAGCCAGTCTCCTCGTCACCCGAATCTTCATTTTCACTGTTGTTCTCATCTTCGACTAATTCTTCGCCATTCACAAGTTCATCCTCTTCTTCGCCTAATTCTTCCTCGGAAATAGGATGATCATGCTCTGATGTGGGTTCTTCTTCAGACTTGAAGTAAGAGGCCTTCAATCCCAATGACAACTGTTTTTTCTCTGGGTTCACCTTCAAAACAATCGCCTTTACCTTGTCACCAGTACCAAAAAGTGTTGAAGGATCGTCGATTTTGCTGTCTGCAATTTGAGTTTTATATGCCAGACCCGTAACATTCATGGTATTGTTCAGTCTGACAAACAGGCCGAAATCCGTAACATTTCTAACCGTACCTTCATAGACTTCTCCGACGCTAATGTCTGCGTAATTTTTCAAAATCTTGAGATCACCGTTGACTTCGGATTCTTTCAAGGTGACAAGGATGTGCTCATCATCATCGCAGTTAACCACCTTTCCGACAACCGATTGCATTGGTTTGTAAAACTTCTTCCATTCCTTGATATAAGAGTCTGTTAGCTTGCTTACAGGAACAAAAGCTTGCAGGCTACTTCCCAAGTAAATGAAAGCACCCTTATCGGTAACTTTTTTCACGAAACCGCGCACGATGTCGCCCTGCTTCAAGGATTCGTGAGTGGTGGCCTTACCGTCCTTGGCATCTTCAGACCGCATTGACAGGTTAATTTTGTCGTCTTTGTTGGAAATGACCGTGACAGACACAATCGAGTTTCTCTGCGAGCCGAACGTATCCTTGAGCGACTTTGAATAATCACTCAATGCGTCTGTGATAAAAGCAACACCTTTCACTTTTTCCCCAAGTTCCAACAACACATAGCTCTCGGTTACGTTGAGAATTCGTGCCGGTAGTTTTTGACCCACAGCGACTTCAGAAGGACCGTTTATCGTGCGAGATCTTCCAGAAACGCCCAAAGTGTTGCGGTCTCTATCAATGTGAGTGACTTTCACCTTCAGGGCGGAACCTAGAGGGAAGGCTGCTTCAATGTTTCCGCCATTCCGCAAACCTTCGTCAGAAAGCTCAAGAGTACTAACCTTTGCCTTGATCGTTGGAGAAACTGTCAGCCAGACAATGTCTTTCATGATATTATTGACAAAGCCCACGACCGAATCTCCCACATTTATATCATCCAATTTAAGGGGATCCGCACCTTCTAGTCTACTCTTTTTGGCTGTCAGGGCCAGAAGAACATTCTTGGATGTCTTGTGGGAAATTGGTAGAAATTTGTGTGTTTTAACATCGTGATGACCGATGACTTTGACGTCCAAAACGTCACCTTTCTTGAACTTACTGAGAGGGTTCTCCACATCGCCTATACTTTCGTAGTTGTCGAACACTTCGGAGACGTCGATTGCACCATGTAGATTGTCAGCGACAGCAACGTTCAGCTGGTTCCTCTTTACTGCTTTAACGATTGCCTTCGTTACTCTTCCTATGCTGAAATCCTGGAGAGTTTCAACTTTCGAGTCAACAGGATTAATTGCTTTGATGCTAGTTTCTTGAGATGCTTTTGGAATTTCAGCAGATTTTGGCTTCTTCAATGTGAGAAGAAAACGCTCATGTGCATCATCCGTTCTCAGCAAATAAACGGTCACCGACTGATTGACGTAATATTTGAGAGACAGATCGACATCACGACTGTCAGCAGCATAGCTCGGCAACACCAACCCAACAAACTGTCCATTAAATGCAACGAAAACTCCTTTCTCGGAAACGGACTTGACGTATCCATGCATGGGTTTTTCTGTACCTTTTTCCTTGACATCCTGGTAGGTCAAAGGTAACAGGAGTTTCTCTGCGTCCCTGATCAAAGACTTTTTGCAAGACAGGTTGAAAACCCTGGTTCTGACATCTTTATCGATGACCAGACCCTCGAATTCATTACCGATCTTAACGCTTTTCAATGAAGCTCTATTCTGCTCTATTCTGGAGTCCGAGAGATGTCCAACATAAATCACTCCGCGTAGGCCAGATTTCAATTCTTCGACAACCACTGAGTCTTTTGTTTTTTCGACTACTGCAACCTTTATTATCGATCTTCCAACTTCCATGCGTTCTATAGTTTCTTTCTGCTGAGACGCAGCTTCATTCGAAACCTTGCACGTTACGATCAACCGGTTTCTAGTCTTGTCATGCTCCAAGACTTTGACGATCACGGTTTGTCCCAATCTTAGGTGGTCTTGAGGCCGTTTGACAAACGCTTCTGAAATTTCACTGCTGGGCAGAAAACCCTTTAGCCCGCCCAAGAAAGATACGACGCAGCCATTAGTCTTGTAAAACTCCACGGTTGCAGCGACTTTTGAACCATCAGATGAAATTCGTTCGATGTCTTCAAAGCTGGAGGCCATTTTGATCTCATCCAAATCAATGTTCACAAGTGATTTTTTCAAAGAGACGAAAAGGTGGCCCCGAGCGTTGGTGCTTAACAACATACCCTTAACTTTTGAACCGATCTTGAACTTTCTCTCTGGGTATACCAGTCTAATGTCTGATATATGAATTGGGGGAACAGTGGCCTGAAACTGTCCACTCATAATGCTTAATTTAATACCTTTATCAGAAACTTCCTGTATCTCACAACCTGTAAGAATGGTACCAAGTGGAATATCGACAGCCCGGATGTATGATGCCTTTAAGGTTTCAGGGTCTGTCGACAACTGGTAATACCCGTCAAAATTATTGTATCCTACAACACGCGCCGAAACACCATTTGTGGGATCTTCTCCTCCTGTTTTAGATATGTGGACTTGTCCCATACTGTCCCTGTTCAAAGTTAAGTAAAAGAATTGAGCATCGCGGTCCTTGACTTCACATTCTTCAAAGATATGACCCACAGGGAATGCCTCTAATGCCTCTACTTGAGAGCACGAAGGCTGGAGAGACAAAATATGTGGCAGCTCTGACATAAGAACAAACTTCTCGCCAGCTTTGTTGATGAGGGATGCTATGATTCGTGCTTTGACGTTGTTTCCAATGGCGTATGGCTGTTCGTCGCCGTCAGCAGCCTTGAACTTTGACTGCTGAGATATGTTGAAGAAACCATCGACCATACCAAAAACCTTTCCAATGTATCCATTAGAAGTCTTTTTCTGGCAAAGAAAATCGACCGCTTGACCTGGGATGACGGCATCGATCGAAGATATTTGAGTGACCTTGGATTTCTTGTTGTTGAAATCGAAGTTCACTGTGACAGTTCTGGTAGACCTTTTAGAGACATTAGCCAAAAACACTTGGCCTTGTTGCAAACCTGGCAGCTGCGCGTAGTCTTTCTTCGATATAAAACCGCTCATGCCTTCGAGGCCAACGTCTAAAATAGCACCGTGGTCTTCTATACTTTTTACGGCACATTGTAGCGTACAGTTCCTGACCAGGTCTTCCTCTATCAGCTTGTTGACAGCTTCCGGCTCGATTGACAGCTCAATTCTCTTTGATTTTTTGTTATTACTGTCGAAAGCCGAGTTTGACTGCACAACGCATCTCAGCCATTGCCCTGCGCGGAAGAAATTTTCCAAGTTTGGCAATTCTTTGGATTTGGTCGCCTGACGCTGTGCCTTTAGTTTTTCATCTTCGTCGCTGTCGTATTCGGCGTCCGAGCCGCTAGCATTGTTTTCTTCTTCCTCGTCACTTTGCATGGCCTCGTCAAGATCTTCCAAAATCTGTGTGAATGGTCCAGAAATGTTGGGTAAAGTCACGAATCCGCATAGACCATCTGATAGAGACACACAAAGATCATGCTTGGTCACCTTAGAGATTTGACCCAAGAGTAGGGTACCCTCAGGCAGGTTTTTGAAAGTGAGATGTTCTACTATGGACACGGAGCCCTCATCAGAGTCTGTTGAGGCCGAAGTACCTTGCTTGGAAGAACCGGTAGTTTTTTTCTTTTTCTTGGGTCTTTGAACTTCCTTAGGAGCAGCCGTTCCACTGGCGTCCGCTTTGAACAAAACGTCACTGGCAGCTTCATTGGCAACCTGTTTCAGCTCCAAAGGCGTCAGAGCACTGGAACCACCTCTTGGGAACGACGCTTCGTCAGAATTACGCAGCAGGGTTGACCCTGTAGGCTGCTGCGTACCATCTTGTCTTGTCAAAGGAGATTCCTCCGTTCTCTTTCTTTTTTGACCCGCAGATGACATGACTAGACAAAAACCCGGATGTAAATGTCAGTTCGTCTTGACAGCTGTTTGACAGTTCGGAAACTCAATCTTAACCAGATCCTAATGTACACTCGTGAGGTCTTGAATGCTCTAGCTCTCGCGATGTAAAGCTCATCGCAACTCATCTCTAGAAAATTTTTCAGATTTGGCATCTGCGATGAGCTATATCGCTATTGACGTCTGTGTCATATGATTATTTATTTATCATGATATTTGTTTGAAATAAAGTGTGTAAGAACCGCCATTGTAAGTGCTTAGCCGCCAAGGAGCGTATATCCATTAATACTTCTAGCATTTAGGAGTGGAGACACAAATGGAAAAATGAACTTGTTTGAATCTTTCTACTTGTTGAGATATGAGAAACTCTTGCCACCGGTATGAGATACATTTAGCACAAGCTTGCTATATTGCAACAGCAGAAGACGTCACGAAAGGTAACAAAATGACAAATAGAACTGTTCTGAGCACCAAGTCCTTTAAAAACCATAGAATTGTGGAGCGTGGATTGCTGTGTGCTATCATTCTCTTCGAGAGTCTTTTTTTATGGTTCACATGCTTCATATGAGATCAGTTTTCCGAAAACTGCCCGCAAACGGGTTTCAGATGTCATTCTTTGAGGTGCAAACCCTGGACTAAAGCGAACTGGAAAGACCAAAAATCAACTGCATGCGAGATAATACTTATAAAGAGCTCAGAGCCTTGAATCTCATAGGTTTGAGTTGGTCGCTCAACTTTCAAAATGATAATCAAGCGGTCATCTTCGTGTAAATGACAGGGATTTGCTGAAGAAATGACAATTTCTCTCTGTTGGCTCGCAAGTTTACTAAGTCAAAGGCTTGTTCAATTTTCGACTAAGCGCTGTTCTGAGAGCCTGTTGCTTGTTACCCCGGGTACAATTCGTGACATTAATCATAAAAGACCGATTCAAAATCAGCGGCGACAACTCTGCAGTCTCTTGGAAACTGTACACAAGGCTCTTCATATAGAGATCAACAAGGTCATTGAGAGTGTCTAGACCTTGCTCTTGCCACTGCCGTTGCTTTCCCGGAGTTTGGCATTATTCACTGCACGATAATCTTCTACGAAAATCTTCAAGTTCTTATATGAACATTACCAGCACATCATTTTTGCCTTAAGCTCAACTTAAACGGAACCAAAGAGGCTACACAGAAAACCACTTCTTAGGGCCTGAAACCGGATGTCGCACTCTCACTCGACGCATGGTCGCGAGGCTCAACCGCGAGCGTCGCGTTCGTCGGCCCGGCCCTCGTTTTCATCGACCAGAACGGCATCCAGTTCTAATACGCTGACTTCGGCAACGGTTGTGGATTATAATTCCACGGAGGCTTATGCTGGGGCAACTTTCGAAACAGTGCCCAGCTCGATTGTTTCGTTCCATCACCCGCATTCATTCGCAAGTCATCGTTTGGAAAGTCCTGGATCTACAAACGATATGCAAGGACGTGCTTCTCGTGAAACAGAGTCATTACTTTCGGGCCCAAATTCTTTCTCCAGATCTAGGGCTTCGTCGCGGACGCGAAACTTTCGCTATTTTTCAGAGGAGGAGATTGAGCTCGCTGAAGGTGTCTCTTCTACTTTGGAAAGTGCCGATTACGATGTGAATTGGGATGGAACTCCAACTTATGAACAGGAACGACTTCATTATGGGCATACATCTAGCAGATCATCAGTACGCAGCACTACAGGCCACTCATTAGCCTCATTCAGATCTCGGTCTTCAACACGATCCAGGGCTTCCCCGCTAGAGAACTCCGCTGCTCATTCAAGACACGGCGGGGAAGACGCCAACGATACAATTCTTGGAACTTCTCCTCACTCCTCTTCCAGCTCTTCAAGATACAGTTATAGAAATAGAATCCCTGCCCAAGTTGAAGATGAAGTGGATCGGATTTCAATGCATAGTCGTCACTCGTCCGAAAGCAGTGAAAGTGGACGCCGGTTTTTGATGGATGACGATCAAGCCTCTGTTCAGGATCAGACATCAGATCGCAAAAAAAAGAGCTCCGCGTATCATTCCGAGTTTCTGAAGCCTGAGTATCACGACAGATTTTATTCTAACCATATTCCTCATCTGCATGTTCAAAGGTTCTACATCGCAGAAGAAGACTTAGTGGTAGGTATTGCGGGATTCAGAACATCGAAGGTCGGTCTCTCTATCTATTACTTCCTGAATGTTTTGACCTTGGGACTTTTCTATCTAGTCCTTCGATGGGTGTCTCGTTACAAGGTATCACTGTGCGGCAAAAAAACTGTTTTAGCCAAAGCTGAATGGGTGGTGGTTGAAAATGAATTTGGAGAGCTTGCGGTAATTACAGTTTCAAGGAGGTGGTACAATAGACCACTAAGTACTTTACTCCCTACGGAGCGTGGACGCGAAAGCGAATTGTCTCAAAATCATCGTCACCGCTATCATCATGAAAGTGATGAAAACCCTAATATTCCCATAATGATTCACTTTTCCTACAGATACTTCAATCTTATCTACACGCCTGTGGAAGATGTTTTCAAGACGAACAGTAATTGGACAGATCCAGACTGGCTCACTCTTAATGCTGATGAAGCAGGTTTAAGCACTTCCGCTGTTGAGGATCGGGTCTTGGCATTTGGAAAAAACAACATAAATCTCAAGCAGAAGACAACAAGTCAAATTTTGTTTGACGAAGTTCTTCACCCATTCTATGTTTTCCAAATTTTTTCCATCTTTTTGTGGTTGGCGGACGATTATTACTACTATGCTGCCTGTATTTTGATAATTTCAATCCTGTCAGTTACAGATACGCTATTGGAGACCAAAAAGGCCTCACAGAGACTAGCAGAGATATCGCACTCTCATGCAGAGGTCAGGGTTTATCGCGATGGCTTCTGGGTCCAGATAAACTCCTCTGATTTAGTTCCTGGTGATATCTACGAAATTTCTGACCCTTCACTCAACTCATTCCCATGCGACTCTTTGTTACTGACCGGTGATTGTATCATTAACGAGTCCATGTTGACGGGTGAATCTGTACCAGTGACTAAAATCCCTGCAACGGACAACACAATAGCTCAGTTGCTCGACGATTTCCAAAAGACGCAAATATCCAGCTTTTTGGCCAAGTCATTCCTTTTTAATGGAACTACCATCATCAGGGTTCGCATCTCCAGTGGGCAATCTACTGCATTGGCTATGGCTGTAAGAACCGGATTCTCTACCACAAAAGGCTCTCTTTTGCGCTCTATGATTTTCCCGAGACCAACAGGCTTCAAATTTTATGAGGACTCCTTCAAGTACATTGGGTTCATGGGACTGATTGCTATGGTGGGGTTTTCCGTGAGTTGTATCAACTTCATTAGATTGGGACTGCAGTATAGAGTGATGGTTTTGAGGGCCTTCGACATCATCACTATTGTCGTTCCACCTGCCTTACCAGCAACTCTTTCTATCGGCTCTAGTTTTGCGATAGCCAGACTGAAGCGCAAGGGGATATTCTGTATTTCACCCACGAGAGTCAATGTGGGCGGCAAAATTGATGTCATGTGTTTTGACAAAACAGGCACTTTAACTGAAGATGGTTTAGACGTTCTCGGTGTCCATGTGTCTATGCCTCACAATCAACACAGCTTGAGATGTGGAGACCTTGTCGCAAACGTGCAAGATTTGTTCTCTAAGTTTTCTCTGAACGATTGTAGCTCACCATTGGACTTTAAATCTAGGAATTTCTTAGTGTCCTTGTTGACGTGCCACTCGCTTCGTTTAGTTGACGGAGAGCTTTTAGGAGATCCTTTAGATTTCAAAATGTTCCAATTCACCAATTGGTCCTACCAAGAAGACTTCCAGGAACAGAGCTTTCATTCTTTGAATGAGGAGCGAAATGATAAAAGCACTCTTCCGGAGAACAGCGGAATCGCCCCAGCCGTTGTACATCCCAATTCCGATGACCCCAACAACAAATTTACCGAGAATGATCCGCATAATCTTTTGGGTGTAGTTCGCAGCTTTGAGTTCCTGTCTGAACTGAGAAGAATGAGCGTAATTGTCAAACCCTACGATGACAATGTTTTTTGGGCCTTTACTAAAGGAGCACCAGAGGTTATATCTGAAATCTGTCATAAGTCAACAATGCCTTCAAATTACGATCAACTCTTGCAGCACTATACTCACAATGGGTATCGTGTGATAGCTTGTGCGGGCAAAACTCTCCCAAAGCATACATGGCGGTACGCTCAAAAAATAACAAGAGAGGAGGTGGAGTCGAATTTGGAGTTTTTGGGATTCATTGTGTTTGAAAATAAACTTAAATCTGCTACCAAGGGAACTCTTTTGACTTTAAGCCAGGCAAATATAAGGAATATCATGTGCACTGGTGACAATGTTTTAACGGCCATATCAGTTGGTCGGGAAAGTGGGCTAATTACTGAAAAGCATGTTTTCGTCCCAATTATTAATGACAATTTGAGTCCAAATCAAGACTTGATCATATGGCAAGACGTTGACGATCCTGAGCTATATCTTGATGGTATGACGTTAAAGCCGACAAACGGGAGCTTAGACTACACGGTTGCTGTGACTGGTGACGTGTTCAGGCTGCTATTCAAGAATAACGAGATTTTGCCAGAGTCTTACATTCATGAAGTACTCCTCAAAAGTTCGGTATACGCGAGAATGTCTCCGGATGAAAAGCACGAGTTGGTGGGTCAATTGCAAAAGCTCGACTATGTGGTTGGATTTTGCGGCGACGGGGCAAACGATTGTGGTGCCCTGAAGGCTGCTGATGTCGGTGTGTCTTTATCAGAGGCAGAGGCGTCTGTAGCGGCTCCTTTTACTTCGAATTCATATGACATTAGCTGTATGCTCAATGTAATCAAGGAGGGCCGCGCATCACTAACAACTTCATTTTCCTGTTTTCAGTACATGAGTCTTTACTCTGCTATCCAGTTTATCTCTGTGACCATTCTTTACAGCCGTGGAACAAATTTGGGTGATTTTCAATTTTTGTACATCGACTTATTTCTGATTGTACCGATAGCGATATTCATGTCATGGTCGAAACCCTATGATAAGCTCGTCAAAAAAAGGCCATCAGCAAATCTAGTTTCACCAAAAATTCTGGTACCGCTGATAACAAATATCTTGATCATTTTGTTTTTTCAGATTGTGCCTTGGTTGATCTGTCAACGGATGAACTGGTACCAGAGCCCTGTTGTGGGAGGGGATGACGCTGTACAATCTTCTGATAATACTGTCCTGTTTTTCTACTCCACGTTTCAATACGTGTTCACGGCTGTTGTACTGTCAGTTGGCCCTCCATATCGCGAGCCGATGTCAAAAAATGTCGGATTTATCACGGATGTCATGGTCTCACTGGTCTTGAACATCATCTTGATGATGGTTTCTGCGAACGGGTGGCTAGGCCGTGCTTTCCAACTGTCAGACATCTCGGGCAAGTTTAAGATGTTTTTGGTGGTTTGGGCCATTATAAACTATTACGTTCAGTTGACGTTGCCCGGGAAATGTAAAAAGATGCTAAAGAAGAAAAGCAGCAGCAAAAAGTACAAGAATATTTTGAGCAACGAGAAGTTAGAAGGTGTATAATGCTTTTTTTATTAAAAGGGACGCTTGCATCACTATGTTTTTTGTACTGTCGAAGCATTGCGCATGGACAGAAAGCAGTTCCACATGACGCCGATAGATGAACTAAAGGGAACTTGTAGATTCTTGGGCATCAGCATAAAGTTGATGAATTGCACGGGGGGCCATAACATGTAATTGAAGCCCAATGTACCAAGATACACGTTTTCGACTTTGGTCTTGAGTGTCGACGCATCACCTCCTTCCATAACGAAGTTAGAATACGCGAAGAAACAAAAAAGCGAGATTGGAGAATAAACCAGCTGATCCGACAAAACTCGTTCTATTGTTTGAACAATGCTAGGGTCTTCTGTGTACAGGTAATTAAGGATGCGATACCATGGTACTTGAAAGAAAGCCAAACCGGAACCCCAGGCCATAAAACATCCCCATCGGAAAAACTGGAAGTGGTAAGGAGACTCCGATATGGCAGGGCCCTCTGGGAGAGAATTGGAGAGCACAGGGCCATAGTCGTTAAAGATCGAAATGCTGTCTTCGAGGTCTTCTTCTTCATCTTCATTCGAAAACCGGTCAGGGCCGAGTGGCAAATGAAGTGACGTTTCTAGGCCGTTTTGGCGGATACCTTGAGCGAGAATATCGGATATACCAAATAAAAGCGCATTGGTGCATATTGTCGTCAGCAGTGCGGAATGCGTGTACAGTCGTGTGTAGATGGTTGAAAATTTGGCTAGCAAAAGAAGCCATATAAACAGCATGGTCCAATGAACTAAATCGACTCGCAGGAGTCGAATACTGCTCAATTTTGAGATCCAACGATTGGTTCCGATGAGCACCCTTCGATGAAGAGTTGGTAACGCTACTCGTGCATAGTGACCAAACTCATCGTCTTGTTGTTCTCGATAATGAAGGGGATCGTTGTTGTTGTCTGCATTTTCGTAAACAATTTTGATTTGATCCTTCCCCCACAGTTGAATTGGCATTATTTGTTTCTATCCTTACCCTGGCCTTTGAAGAAAAGCCTTGCTTTAGCAGTTAAGGAAGTGGCTACTTGATTGTGGGTTATGACAGATGGGTTATATAATAGTGTATTAGAACAATATTGACTTTCATATGTCACGTGATGCACACTACACAGATGATTTTGATTATCCTGACATCTATGATAAGAGATTCGATATTTGGTTTAGAGTCTTGTTGTTTGTCATTATTCGATGGTTAGAAATTGGTATGGAAGCTTAGCTGGTTTTTGACACCTTTACATTGATAACAAGCTTACACATGAAAAAAAAACTAGGAAAAAAACGTTTGCCAAAATAAAGACTCATGTGCACCTTAAGATGAGGAAAAATCTGGTGGAATTTTGGTATTCAAAATGTCCAATGATTGATGAGTACTTAAGTAAAAAAATGTGTGTGCGTGTGTTTAAAGTATTTCCTGTCACTCGAAATAGTAATTAACGTCAGATGAAAGATATAGTTTTATACGACAGCGTCGTCGTGGTGTGTAATCATCAAAAACTATTACACGTCAAGAACAGTTTGTGGTCTTCCGAGAAGAATTTAGCATACGATGAATCTATGCCGGGGCCTCTTAGTTTTGTTCAGAACAGGTCCCCCAATTGAAAGATAGTTTTGTACGACGAACTTATCATCGCCGTATGCAATCATCAAAGAATGATTATGTTACAATCACGATCTGTGGCATTTCAATTCTCAGATGAAAAAAAGACTCGAAACAACAAAGAAATGAAGCTTCAAGGAAAAAAATCACCCTTCACTTAGTTCAAAAACGATACTTGGAAAATAAGTCGATCCAATAAAGTGAATAATCTTTTCTCTCACGTGACTCCTCGTTTTATACGCTCCTTATCCCTTTAATGCGACTTACGTCAGCTTCAAGATTTCGTCTCAAGCGACATCACGGCTGTCCCCAAAATTCTTCAAACTTTTTGAAAAAAATCTTCAAAAAAAGCAGTCACATCCAAACTTAAAATCGAGCTCGTCTCGCAACCCACGCAAAAAAATACGATCCATGAAACTTTGGCTACTGCGTCGGATTCCAATTCGGAATCCAGTCCATCGTGCAATAGCGTGTAGTGAATAGTGTATCTATCGATAGGTTTAAACTGAATAAGACATCGCTTCGTGCAGTTTTGGAAATACACGCTTAAGACTCCACAGACCAAGTTCCAAAATGTTGATTCCTAAGGAAGAGAGAACCAAGATCCACAGACACTTGTTTCAAGGTACGTTGCGCATTGTATGAAGAGGCAGGAAACGTGGAGGAGACCGCGATGAAATGAGAAAAGCCGGAAACAGACCGGCCTCCCAGGTGGCACCAGGTAGACACCCACAGGGCTTACAAGGTCCAAAATACTTGTTTTCAATGATTCCCCATTGCCGCGTATGGCGTGCAAAATCATCCGTGATTATATGTTCCCAGAAAATAGCTCCTCCAGGTTCCAGATACCCAAACTCACACATCGAAAAATATACTAACAATTCAATTTTTTTCCAAACAGAAGGTGCTGTTGTTGCCAAGAAGGACTTTAACCAGCCAAAGCACGATGAGATCGACACCAAGAACTTGTACGTCATCAAGGCCTTGCAGTCTTTGACCTCCAAGGGCTACGTCAAGACCCAGTTCTCGTGGCAATACTACTACTACACCTTGACTGACGAAGGTGTGGAATACTTGAGAGACTACTTGCACTTGCCTGAGAACATTGTCCCAGCCACCTACTTGCAGGAGAGATCTCAGGACCAAAGACCTCAGAGAAGATACTAAGCGACGGGCAACTGACCTTCAAATGCAGACTGGAAAACGCACGTCGTCGTCGTCGTCATCGAGGATTCCGGGGGGCTCTGCCCCTCAAAAAACTGTATAATGTTTTAGTATAAAGCACTATATCTAAGCTATAACAACACAACATCAATTGGTTTTCACTGTGGGCACTAGCAGCAGCAGCAGCAGCAGCAGCAGACTAAGACCTATGTGTGGTCTACACTTACTACGCACATATACACCTTGAGCGTTTTTTTAATGATGACACTGTCGTCCGAAACGACCAATTTTCGTCATACAATGTAGCTTCGAAAATGCAGGGCTTTTTCCAATCTGTGTGATTCTTCTGAGCCCACTTTCCAATTCACAGGGTATAGTTTACTCCCTGGTGACCGAACTGGAAAAACTATCGAAAATATTTTCCCAATCGGCGAAAACCTAGAAATCTATCAGCTCCATTAGTGCCCGAGGTAGCCCCAAGGGAGCTCAAGGAAGCACAAAGCCCTCGGCTGTCACTATCCATCAAACAACAACTCTCTCCCAGCATCTATATAGATCTGGCTTTACGATCACGTGGATGCTAAACGTATCTCGAAGTCACATGACTGGTGATAATGTCACAGTGCTTCTAATTTAAACATTAATGAGCATAGAGCATAGGTAGGAAAGGATGCGATGAGATTGATATAAACACAACTTGAACTTGTTTTCACCGATAAAGGTCCCTAGTTCAAACACACCAACAATGTGTGCCAGAAGGCTGAATTACGCCGGAGGCGACAATTTGCCAGTAAGTTTGAAAGAAAAAAACGCTTCATTACGTTTTCTCTGGTCTACGAATTACCCTATAACACTTGTACTAACGAAATAAAACCCTGGCTCGAAACAGTTGTATGCCACACCGGAAGAAGCTATGAAAGCCGGTCAAAGAGCAGCAGAAGATGAGGACCGAAGAAGACGTGTCAGAAAATTTGAACATGGTGCCCCGTCGTCCGTCCCCAATTCAAGACAAAGTTCTGCTCCTGCGATAACGCCCACAATGCAGCGTCCCGTTGCCAATATGCCTTACAACGGGCTCCCGGCAACGCAGTCGATGCCACAGATCCCACCGGCTCGATATAACCCTGTCCCACAACCGTATCCGCAGCAACAGATGCCGAACGGTGGACGCTACCAAAGTATGCCCCAGCCAGTGAACCACCGCGTCCCTCGGCCTCGGCCAGTACCCAACAACGTTGCACAAGCACGCCAAATAACTCCTCCCCCAATGGACCCCTCACGGTCCCGAACCTCACTGGATGCCGGCGAGCAGCGGGACTCCATGGACTCCCAGATCGCCACTCAGCTGTTCCACAATCATGACGTCAAACAGCGAGGAAGACTCACCGCAGAAGAGCTTCAAAATTTGCTTCAAAACGACGACAACACGCACTTCTGCATATCTTCCGTTGACGCACTTATCAATCTTTTCGGTGCTTCGCGATTCGGGACCGTCAACCACGCGGAGTTCGTGTCTCTGTACAAACGGGTCAAGAAATGGAGGAAGGTATATGTGGATAACGACATCAATGGCAGCTTCACCATATCTGCCAGCGAGTTTCACAACAGTCTGCAAGAGCTGGGATATCTCGTGCCTTTTGACGTCAGCGAGAACCTTTTCGATCAGTACGCAGAGTTTATCGATCCTTCAAAGAATGGCAGAGAGCTCAAGTTTGACCGGTTTGTAGAGGCTCTCGTCTGGCTAATGCGTCTTACCAAGATGTTCCGGAAGTTTGACACCAATCAAGAGGGCATCGCTACTGTGCCGTACAAGGACTTCATCGATTCTACACTTTATCTGGGACGATTTCTACCGCATTGAACCAAAATATTCCATTCACATCACACTGCGAATCCCAGTGTCCAGCTAAACTCACTCAAAATTCATTTTCTCATCTTGGCCAAGCCCTACATCTCAGCATTTTTCGAGTACCGTACTAAATTCGATGTAATTACATAATTTTCATAATATTTGTATCGACTATATAAAGGACAAGATTTTTTTGTCAAAATATCACAACTTAACCTACAATTCATCACTTTTATCAAAAACAAGTAGAAAACACAGCGTAAAACCAAGCGTAGAACATAGCATTTACCAATGCAATAATATCTTGTAGAAGGAAAGGATTCCTTCTAGCGTTGATATACATTTGTGCTATCGTTGCATAATGATGAATTTATTATTAGCTTTTTTTCTGGCATCTCTAATGTTAGGGCAGGCGTTTAAGTACTCCGTTCGATGAATACAACTATTGACATATTCTGAAAACGCAACGATAGATCAACGTTTGGTTGAAGAAATTACTCTCTTGTGTTCTTGGCTTGTAGAACTATACGGAAGTTGTATGTAAAGTAACGTCACAGACAGACAGACGGGACCTATAATAATAATGGTCTAAGTCTCTTAGAATCAGCATGGCAGATTTGTGGCCTTAACAACTTCGAACTCGAGAAAAAGCTTATGAGGCATGTGCTAACTCCAATTCGCATGGTACCGTAAACTGTTTGAAGAAAAAAATAGTTTTGATGCAGCTAATGGCAGCGAAACCCATATTTTTGTCTTAGACTTCGGCAATATGATCCTCTAGTAGCTCTCGAAAGGTTAATTTGCCGAGGAGCGTCCAGCCACTTAGGTCTAAGGCTTCCACAGGTTACCAGGACCTCGACTCGCGTACATGACCTGGTCGAACTTGGCTCGATACACATCTTTCCCGCCAGAAGAACCCTTTACACTCTTCTTCTTCAGCGAGTCACTGAACTTGACGCTCTGCTGGAAAGCCCGCTTGTCGAGTTTCTTGCAAATTTCTTGGTCCGCTGAAACGAGCGAACAATGTGGAATGGCAAACGCATCTGCAAGACGGCGAATTTGAGGGTCCTCCGTTACCAATGTCCATTCCTGATTGTTGCTGCCCTCTAAGTGGCATTTGTAGGTGCAGCTCTTGAGTAAATTTCGCAGACGACGTGGAATCGAATGCGGTGAATTGGGTCTCAAATCAAATTCAGGTACTTCGAAAGCTTGGTGTTCAAGCACACTTGACCACAGTATGGTGTCAAGAAGCTCTGGAAACTCGATTATTAAGTTGACATTTTGTGGGAAGTCCGTGCCATCGATGAATCGCAGTGCCTCTTTAGCTGTGTAACTATTCCTGCGATATTTCAAGAAATCCAATTCTTGTAGAGTGTAAGTTGGGATGTAAAAGCTTAGTTGAGAAATTTGACGGGTTGAATCCGCTTCAAACCATCTCTTAACATTACCAATGCCCTTCTCCATGCATGATGCATCCAGAATGTAACATAACTGAGACATCGAGACGTGAAATGGCGCTCCGGGTTTGTTAGTGTGAGTGAGGGCATCGCGATGAGAATATCACTTGGATGTGAAGTAATATAGTTAGGTTGTGGGAGTGTGAATTTCGTGATAGATGATACGAAGAGATCACGTTACGAGTGTAAATATGGCCCAGACCGAAAGCGCTCTTCTAGACTTGAGTTCGATTCCGGTGCTTATTTGTGGAGTTTCACGGTGATGGGTGCTTATTCATGTTGAAAGTTCTTCCCGTGTGAGAACTTATATTCTGGACCATTTTCCGTTGAATTTGTTGGTTAATGGAATTAGCAAGGTTGATGCGAAGGTGTTGGTTTTTTGACCCTGCGCAAGTGAGACCAAATATTGATACATGGGGTTGTCGGCCTGGCAGTGCGATGTTGCGTGTGAGGAGGAAGCACCTTATATCATCTTCCACGAGCAAAATGATTGCCGTATGAAACGATGGTTACATTTACCGGACTGTAACTTTGATTCCAATGGTAACGTGAAATGTGAGTATAGAAACAATTGCGGTTGTTTGCGGGAGTGAGTGCTTTAAGTTAAGCTTTGGGGTAGTACACATTCACCAATGGGGTGAGGTCACGTGATTCAGCCTTTGTCCTGCATTTCTGGTTCTCTTACTCTTCTTCTCTTCTTCTTCATTTACAAGCACAATTGCCCTGTGTGACCTCCCACTTAGTAAAAACCCTCTTACCAAAGACCAATTCCAACTTCAAACCCAATCTTCCCGTAATTTCCCTTTGAAAACTCACAAACCCGACAAACACTAAAAAAAAAATACTCCGTTGCTTCCACCCCCGCCCCATCTCGTAAAAACAACCGCTACCGTTAAAGCGATAATGAATGGCCTGATTGTTACTGGCTCCGTCCTCAGCACGGTCCGGAAAATATTGTGAGAGCCTAAACGACGCATACGTATCAAACGACAAGGCTGAGAGAGAGCGAGAACAACGGAGAGAGGCAGAGAGGGAGAGAGGGAATTTGAAGCTTTGTATCTCAATTCCGATTCTTGACCGTTATTCAGCCTCAAAAAGAATAGAGATGAGAGTTAGCTACTATGTTCCGTATAAAGTGAGAACAAAAACCATTTAATCTACACACACCTCCCATTTCACACACTTCACACACTTCACACTTCACACACCTCTACCAGACTCTGAATCTCCATTGTCCTCCCCTAACCCTCCTCTCTCTCTCTCTCTCTCTCCATTTCCCACTTCCAACCCTCATCGTTGCACACGAAAAACACACACCACTCGTCTCAATTATCGCTCTTCTTACATCGTTTAATTTTTTCTGCATTATCTTCGAGACCCATCATCGCATCGTTTAGAAACACCTTTGCAATTTTCTTGAAATTATGGCTATATATTGTATCGCATATAAAAGGAACCCACAATTTTAGAGCTCATCTCATCTCATCTCATCTTCGTCTTTTCTTGAGACGCCATCCTTTTGGAAAAAAGCTAGGAGAATAGTCGTTGCAGTTGCTATCCGTGGTATTCAATTCAGTTCAATTCAAACCAGAGCTCTTACACGGCAACTGGGATTTGAAATTCGAATAAGATCGTAACGGAATCTGGAAAAAAACGGTCCAAAACGGTCAAAAACGGTCAAAAAACGGACCAATACCACCAATATTTGGAAAAAACTAGGGTCTTGAAGACTGAATTATAGGAAAAATCGAAAAAAGCCAAGTCACAAGTGTTTTTTTTGTTCTTTTTTTTTGGTTCTCATTTCACTCCTCTTCACCCAAAACTCAACTTTATCGGTCGAAAAAAAAATCATAACTTTTTAGCCCGACCATGTCTGCAGTTTTCCCAAATGCCACATTGGCAGCTAGTTTGGCCCACAGCGGGTCCTATCTCAACACCCTCCACAACGTCCAGGCCAGCCAACCGGAACTGGGACTCATGGCACAGATCTGGGCGTCCTGGTACGTTTACATGAATAACGATATCCTGGCCACCGGGTTGATGTTTTTCGTGCTGCACGAATTCATGTATTTCTTCAGATGTCTGCCCTGGGCTATCATCGACCAAATCCCATTTTTCCGTCGCTACAAGATCCAGCCCACCAAGATTCCAAGTGCCAAGGAACAATGGCACTGTCTAAAATCGGTTCTACTATCCCATTTCCTCGTAGAGGCTATCCCCATCTGGACTTTCCATCCAATGTGTCAGAAATTGGGCATTTCCGTGTCCGTGCCTTTCCCATCTTTGAAGACCATGGCTTTCCAAATCGGTCTCTTTTTCATCCTAGAGGACACCTGGCATTACTGGGCTCACCGTCTGTTCCACTACGGTGTTTTCTACAAATACATCCACAAACAGCACCATCGTTACGCAGCTCCCTTTGGTTTGACTGCTGAATATGCACACCCGGTCGAAACTCTATCGCTCGGTTTCGGTACCGTCGGAATGCCTATCCTATATGTGATGTACACCGGCAACCTACATTTGTTCACTCTTTGTGTTTGGATTACCTTGAGACTTTTCCAGGCCGTTGACTCGCACTCTGGTTACGACTTCCCATGGTCCCTCAACAAGTTCCTCCCACTATGGGCGGGCGCAGCTCACCACGATCTACATCACCATTACTTCATTGGCAACTACGCCTCTTCATTCACCTGGTGGGACTTCACTTTGGACACTGAAGCCGGTCCTGAAGCGAAAGCTGAAAGAGAAGAAAGAATGAAAAAAAGAGCTGAGCTTAGAGCCAAAAAGGCTGCTTAATTCTAACAGCATATTGTTCTTTGAAAACTTCGAAAACTTTCGAATCTTTGCAATATACCATCACGATTTTATCTTTATATAGAGCCTCTATCATCAGTTTTTATGCACATCATATCAGGCAGTAAATTCACACTCTTCGGAAAAACCCATACTCAAATTAAGCATCACCACTATTATACATGTTCTACTAATGTTATTTGAACACTGTCCTTATCCGACCCACTTTCTTACCGATCTGAACATTCTTATCCAAGGCCCATATCCTTGCCATTCATCGTATTTTTCTGAGGGATACCATGAATTAGCTTCCAGTCTGCAAACACGCTCAGGGTGAGGCATCATGGCAAGAACTCTTCCATTGGGAGACCTTACACCAGCAATACTTTGGGTGGCACCGTTAGGGTTGAATGGGTAATTTTTGGTAACATTACCATAGTTGTCCACATACCTAATGCTTGATAGACCCTGTTCTTCGAATTTCTCCATCTCTTGTTCATTCTTGAATGCAGCTCTACCCTCACCATGTGCAACAGCAATTGGAAGTTTAGATCCGACCATGCCACTGAAAAAGATGCTGTCAGAATTACAACCGTCGTCCTGAGTAATTTCGACCATTGCAACACGAGCCTCATATTGCTCACTTGCATTCCTTTCGAAACTTGGCCAGTTTTCACATCCCGGAATGATATCTTTCAGTCTACTCAAAAATTGGCAACCGTTACAAGCGCCAAAAGCGAAGGTGTCGTCTCTTTCGCTGAAGAATTTGACAAATTGCTTGCGCAGGCCTTCGTGGTATAACACAGACTTGGCCCAGCCAGCACCGGCACCGAGCACGTCACCATAGGAGAACCCACCACAGGCTGCAAAACCAACAAAGTCGTCTAAATGGAATCTCTCCTCTATCAAGTCCGTCATGGTAACGTCTACAGCAGTGAAACCAGCTTGCTGGAAACACCAGGCCATTTCCATCTGTCCGTTGACACCTTGCTCTCTTAAGATCGCAACCTTTGGCTTGGAAGCAGCCAGGTGGCTAACGCCCAAGTCATCAACAGGATCATACGTTAAAGAATAATGCAAACCAGGGTCTTTATCGTCAGCAATGCTGGAGAATTCCTGATCAGCAGTAATTGGATTATCTCTCATTTTTTGGATCTGATATGAAGTTGCTGTCCATGTTTTTTGCAACAAAGACCTTTCACTTTCGAATTTTACTAGACCAGATTTGTCGGAAACCATAATTTTCTGCGATCCGAACTTAGGTCTACCCACGATCGATATGAACTGAGACGAGACTCCACGCTTGGCAAGAATTTCCTCAAAGTCGGTAACTCTATCCTCAGAGATCTGGAAGACGCAACCAACTTCTTCGTTGAAGAGTGGAGTGTAAACATCAGATGTTTGATCCAAAATGATGTCGAGACCACATCTGGAAGCAAATGCCATTTCAGCCAAGGTTACAAACAGCCCACCATCGGATCTATCGTGATAAGATAAGACCAAATCGGTTTGGTGCAGATCAAGCAACGCTTCTAATAAGCCCTTGAATATCTTGTTGTTATGCACAGTAGGCGAATTGTTACCAACCTGATTGTAAACCTGGAGCAAAGCAGAACCACCTAGAGAATGTTCGGTTAGACCAGCAGCCAAGTCTACAAGAACCAAAACGGTACCTTCTTCTCTCTTCAGAACTGGTGTCCAAGTGTTTGAAGTGTTTTCAACGGGTCCGAAAGCTGTAATATTTAAAGTGAGAGGAGCAGTTACCTCTTTTTCGCCCCACTTCATTTTCATGGACATGGAGTCCTTACCAACAGGGATGGCGATATCCAAATCAGGACACAAATCAATACCAATGGCTTGGACGGCTTCGTAGAGCTTGGCACCTTCGCCTTGATGGGAAGCTGGTGACATCCAGTTGGCAGAAAGTTTGATGTGCTTCAAGGACTTCACATCAGCAGCTAGCAAGTTGAGAAGTGACTCAGCCACAGATAGCTTTGCAGATGCGCCTGCTGAAATTAAAGCATTGACTGGTCTTTCTCCCATTGCAAGGGCCTCTCCGGTACGGCAGATGCTGTCGCCTAAAGCAGTTCCGGTTACACCGACGTCTGCGACAGGCACTTGCCATGGACCAACAAACTGGTCTCTATCAACAAGCCCAGTAACTGTCCTATCACCAATAGTGATCAAGAATGATTTAGACCCGACTGATGGCAAGCTCAGAACTCTGTCGATAGCATCTTCAAGAGAGGGAATGGCGCTAAGATCAGCTTGAGGAAGAATTAGTGGGTGGGTCACAGCTTCTCTTGTCATCTTAGGAGGTTTACCGAACAGAACGGACATCTCCAGGTCAATTGGCGTCGCCTTCAAAGCCGAGTCCTCTACGATAAGTCTTTGTTCTGCGGTTGCGTGTCCTACAACAGCATAAGGTGCCCTCTCCCTCTTACAGATGTCTTCGAATAAAGTCAAATTCTGCTGGGAGACGCCAAGAACATAACGTTCCTGAGATTCGTTACACCAGATCTCAACAGGCGACATACCGGGTTCCAAGGACAAGACCTTTCTGATGTCGAACTTGGCACCAAGATTATTATCGTGAACGAGTTCTGGTAAAGCGTTAGACAGGCCACCAGCGCCAACATCATGGATGGACTGGATAGGGTTTCCGGCATTCAACGAAATACAAGCATCAATCACTTGCTGACAACGACGTTCCATTTCTGGATTTCCTCTCTGCACAGAGGCAAAATCCAAGTCAGCGGAGCCTTCCCCGGCATTAATAGAAGATGCAGCACCACCGCCAAGACCGATAAGCATAGACTCACCACCCAAAACAATGAGACACGAACCAGGGGTAATAGGCTTGTTTTTCAGAGCAAACTGGGGCCTTACAGCACCCAAACCACCTGCGAGCATAACGGGCTTATGGAAACCTCTTATCTCCTCTTTGTTGTCAGAATTTGTGACCTTGGTGGTAAGGGTTCTGAAGTAACCATTGATACAGGGTCTACCAAATTCGTTATTGAAGGCTGCGGAACCCAATGGAGCTTCGATCATAATGTCTAGAGAAGACGCAATGTGGTTAGGCTTTCCAACATCTAGCTCCCAGGGCTGTTTGTGGCCAGGGATCAATAGATCACTAACTGCGAAACCGCTCAAGCCACATTTGGACTTAGAACCTCTTCCGGTGGCACCTTCGTCTCTAATCTCGCCACCAGACCCAGTAGCGGCACCAGAAAAAGGCGATACAGCAGTTGGATGATTGTGGGTTTCCACTTTAACCAGCATAGGAACGTTTTCCTTTGTAGCTTTCCACTCTTTTGATTTAAAATCAGGTGCGTAGTAGTAGGCTTCGTTACCAGTTTCTAGAACGGCGGAATTGTCAGAGTAGGCACTGATGGTGAATTCGGGTGTGCTAGCATGTGTGTTTCGAATCATTTTGAAAAGTGACAGTTCCTTCTTTAGACCATCGATGGTCCATTCGGCATTGAATATTTTGTGGCGACAATGCTCGGAATTGACTTGCGCAAACATGAATAACTCCACATCGGAAGGATCTCTATGCAGCGTCTCCACAAAGGCATGAATAAGGTAGTCGATTTCGCCCTTGTCCAGGGCAAGACCGAGATCTTGGTTAGCTTTCTCGAGAGTTGTTCTTGGAGAAGCCGATTTCTCAGAAGCCAGTGGGACGTGAGCCAAGGGTTTAGGAGTTTGATGCGAAAAAATATCTTCGAGTTTGGGTGATTCACCCACGTAAAGCCTTTGAGTCATTCTGTCGTAGCACGACTTCAAAGAGACGTCATTCAAGTTTTCCAGAAGTGGGAATCCAGGAACTGTCTTGATGAGCAGAGCCGCACCGCGCTCAACACGACCCACGTTAACATGTAGTCCACACACGCGGGCGATGTTGGTGGCTTTCGACGACCATGGTGAAATCGTTCCTGGTCTTGGCAGAATTCTGATAATATAGGTGTCTGATCCCAACTCTATGGAATCGTCTTTCACAGCAGTTTTCAGTTCACGAGCGTAAACGTCTTCGTCGTCTAAGGCGGTGTCGTAGGTCAAAAGAACTTCCAGCAACTTGGTTCCTTCCTCAGATAACGGCTCTTTGCCCTCCACATCCACATAGTGAACGTAACATGAGCGCACCTCCGAAATAACGGATGAGCTATTGCAGTACGATTCGATGCCCTTGATCAAGTTTTCCACTCTAAAGGGACTCAGAGCTTGAGGTCCTGGTAAAGTGACAACCGTCATGGCGTACGTCTTAAAAAGCGTATAGTCTTCAAAAAAGCGTTCAACTTCTTTATCTATCTCAGGAATGAACGAAGTAGGGCCCTCTTGGATTGGATTCCAAATTTTATATTCGTATTTTATTCGTTTTTCAATATCTGGAATTTTTCAATTTATAACTTTTTCATGCAGGGAATATATTTTTTAAATTGTGTAATAGAAATTGGAACTCATCTCTTCACGCCGATGGCCATATTGTTAACGCTGAAAACTCCTGTCTTGCCCGCCCATGGTGCCGAAAGAAATGAACATCGAGCGCTCTTTTCAGAGATCGTAGAATTGGGCAAGTTATTCTGGCCCTTTTTTTCCCTATCTTCATAGTGCTCTTTTTCCACCTTTTCCCAAGAAATTAATAGTTTTTGACTCTGTTAATTGAAGAAGTCACATGATCATCTCACGCATAGGATCTAGAGCCAAAGCTCGAACGATCTACCGATTCAGATGGTGTCACAAAGACTCAAGGATAGTTTCGTAGTTCCTCTGAGCCCCGCTGCTTGCGAAACCGTTTCATCAAACTTCTTTCATTTTATTCGAGAAGAGGGAGAAAACCTTCCTCGCACTTTCATTGGTGTCCCAGAAACTGAAAATACTCTGTGATCACAGTTGTCGACAATAGTACAGCGTGAAGAACCAAATCATCGCAAAATTCTCAGGTTGTCACATTATTGAAAGCATGAATCGAACCCAGTGGGAGGGGAGAGAAGAGATACATCATCTCTAACGAAGACTGTGCTAATACTTGATAAGTTTGAAAATCTTCACTTCGAGGGAGACCTCATCGCTTCCATAACCGCCTAACAAAGTCTGGTAACGACCAAGTAACAAACCCCCATCCATTCCATGCCACAAAAAGCTCTCAAAGTCACGAAGCAGGCCAAAGACCCCAGAAGAGTGACGAAAAAGCAGAAAAATCTGAGGAAGGCTGCTCCTTTGCAAATTAAGTCCAAAAAGAAATCGCTATCACATCTCAAAAAACTCAATAAGGTCTCGTCGCTGACTGTATCAACGGAAAAACTGATAGCGAGCCGAGTCGGCCATTTGGAGCTCTTGAAGGGTACCAGAAAAGAACTGGAAACTCAAAAGAAAAAGGACTCTAAATAATGCATTTGTGTCGATGCCAATTAGTCCATAACATGGTAGACGCTTTTAGTTCCCCTCCTGTATAGTACGTTTTTTATTGTTTTCGAGCACCGCTTTTTAAATTTTCATTTCTGGTAAGGCCAAAGCATGTCCAAAAACGCGTTTTGAATCAACGAATACAACTGAGAGCTAATCCAGTAGATGGCCAACAGTAAAGGAGCCTGGGTGGAAACGCCCATAAAAAAGATGCAACTCAGTCGAGAAATGTTCAAGATACTTTGTGTACTTTGTGATAGTTTAGAGTTCGGGCTCGACGCTACCTTGATCCCTAAAGCTCCCGTCGCCGTTGTGCTCATCATTCTTCCGTTATTCTCCACATTAGTAAGTGCTAGTAAACCCAAGCATAGCGGTGCAAGCATGGGAAGGCTATCCAATGGGACACTAAGGTCAAGCGAGCCAATCTGAGTTAGTAGTTCGTGCATGTTTGACCCCTGCCATGAAGGCAATCCTGATGGAATATATGTGTCGATTAACCGGTGCTCAGTCAGGTTTCGGAGTCCCATTGAGATGGAAACCCACAGCGGTACCTGTATTAGCGGTAAAATGAAATTTTTCCACAATTGGACCTTATTTTCTGCGAAAAGTCTTTTCTGGCGGTTTCTGGTTTCCTTGAGCGCTAATAACGTAATCTGTTCCGGGGTTAGTGGAGGTTTCTCTCGCAAACCAGTAGAACCAGACTGTGGCGCCATTTGTTGACGCTGCGTGGCAGCCGCTAGCCGAAGTTTCACCACTGGGGTCGTTGCCTGTATTACCTTCCGTAGTTCTTGCTGCTTGACAATTCTTCGGCGCTGCCAGATACTCAATGGAAGAGTGAAGATTGTTCTAAGGCCAAAAGTCGTCGCTGGAATTAAAAAAACCCACGGCAATCCACTAAACTCATGTAAAAGGACAAGAGACTCCGAGACATTATTGAAAAACGCGATTGATCGGGTCTGACGTGATTTTACAAGAGCCGTTCTTGCAAGCCCGTTCAAACTTGCCCTTGAAGTCGCTACTCTTCGAGCAGATGCTAGAAACATTTTTTGAAAGGAACTGAGTCAAGTAAAACCTCCAAGGCACGTCTTGTCTTCTTCTATTCTGTACGTTTCAAACCAGCTTACTATTTTCCGCCGAGCTTTAACTGTGGGATATTATACAACAATACTAGTAATCTATGCAGTACCATACCACGTACAGTGTGACAATATTCGAGATTTACTCTTTTGGTCCTGACTTCAAGCGTTTGAGAGCTTAAATCCCGGACCAGGTTCCACAGTGCTATCCATAGTGTTATCAGCTCTTTGTTTTGATCAAAATCAGCTTAGTTTTGACTATATTTTCTTCTTCTCCTTCTTCTTGCCATTTAGCTCTATCAATACTATGTAATGTCAAGAGCTTTTCTTGCCTCTAAATACCGAAAAACTTAAGAAAAAACATCCTCCCAGAAAAGCGATTGTCTGGATATCTTAACACTTATTGCATCGGGACCTGCGAGTCCACTAACAGTGGCATGCCACCAGCTGCCCGCACTCTGTGAAATGGTAGGACGCATATAGAATACGCTAAAACCCTTAATTGATGTTCTTGCTGTTCTCGACATCACCAAAATTACTATGTACAATTTTGTAGTTTGTTCCGCTCTTTAATCTACCTGAGTACCATCCCGTGGTTTGTAGTGAGGCAACATATCTGAAACCTCGACAGGTAATCTTCCATCAACCTTGATGGCATACATCCCCGGTATGTAAGGATCCACGCTGATCCACTTAGCGACCCACGACTTGGTAGGCTTGCACATACCAACCAGGCCTTCGAACGAGGGCGAGGTACATTCCATTGTGCTCACACCTGCTTCGTCAAAAATTCCTTGACAGTTCGGGCATCCGTCCTTGGTAAACTCTGCAGTGGTCAACACGACTCCGCAAAGCATACATGCTCTTTCCGAAGACATTTTGACCCAAAAACGAAAGATCAAGTCACAGCTGTAAATCAAAAGTCGCAATGAAATGTGTTCATGTGTGTGGCTGGCCTTTTACGCTGTAGTTTCGTAGCCAATTTGAAAATTAATTGACTTCAATACGTATCAAGTGCTTAAATTTGCCAGCTTGGAATTCAGTAGGTGGGTGAGTAATATAGCATATCTTAAACCTGCCTAGATAACAACTGCTCAAATCTCATCAAGTGTATATATAATAGAGAAAATTCATTAGCCACCTCGTTAGCTTGAAACCTAGTGACTTTGTGGATTTTCTTTGATACAGTGAATTGCCACTAATAATTTCAACCAACGGTAGAGCCACCTTATTCGTAATTAGAAAACAATCATGTCTGAATACGTTAATGAAGTCAAAGAAGTCATTGCCTCGCAGAAAGTCGTTCAATTAACAGCCAATTGGTGCCCTGATTGCGTATACGCAAATTCGGTGTGGAAGAAGTTCGGCGTATCGCAGAAGGTGCTGTTGTTCGAGATTGGCGGTTTCGACAGGACCACTCAGCAAAAATTCAGAGATGCGTTCGAACAGGTTGCTGGAATCAGAAATTTGCCAACCATTTTCGTGAACGGAAAGGTCTGGGGAACAGAGCGTGAGTTGCGCAAGTTCGAAAAAAAAGGTACCCTCGAGAATGAACTGAAAAAGATAGGCCTTCTATAAAAATATCCATTATTTTAGTATTCAACGACCAACTGCATAAACGCACTCTTCTATATATTAATGGGGAAAAAGAATAGAGAATTGACAGCAAGCTGATAATCCAGTGCTAGCACTAATTGACCCTGTGTACCTTTTCCTTTTCCTTCAAGTAATAGTATTCACCTCTTTTCTCCATTTCGTTCTCAACGAACGTAGGAGGAACTTCGCCATGGTCACTGTTGTAGAGAATAATACCGTTGCCCAGGGCGTTCTTTTTCTCGTTTCTCTTGTAGAAGTACAATACGACAAAAGTCCACAAACCATAGACGATTGAGAAGATCAAACTCACAGTGTAACCGGTCTTGAAGCGGGGTTGCTCCACTGTTTTCCATGCCAAAGTTGGGACCCAGGCGTAAGTTGACTGCGAAAAACTGTAAATGGCGATCCACGTCACTGCCTTCAACTGAGGGTCCAGTCTCAGAAAGTCGTTGATGAAAGCCCACAAGCAGGGGGATGCAGCAACGGAAAAGTAAGTTATCAAAAACGCGAACCACTTCGCACCATTAGAAACATCCCATTTGATCAAGATTGCACAAGAAATGCAGTTCATTGCTTGGGAAAACACCATAAAAATCCATTTCGTTCGGAACAAGTCTGCACCCCAGGCGCATAAAAACACGAAGACAAATCCAAGACACGCAGGCAACACGCTCAAATTGTTAATCGTCACCACAGAATAGTTGTGGTCGGACTTTAGCCAGAATAAGAAACTTCCACTGAAAGCTGTCATATTGTTCCATGAGCAGGTATCGAAAACGACGAGGACCCAGAAAGCTGGGGTAAAAAACACCTTTTTCCATATTTTCCAAGAGAATAAAGACAGCAATTGACTCCTGTCAACAGCATCCTTGATCTGTGCTCTCTTGTTTCTAGCACGAGCAACCCTGATTTCTTCGTCGGTCAAAAACAAGGAGTAGCACTTTGAAGGAACACCTGGGATAACGAAAAACCCTATGATAGCGCAAGGAATAGAAATGGCTATTCCATCAATCAAAAACATCCATCTCCACCCCGCAATACCGTTGACTCCATTCAAATCTTTGTAGGTTCTGGCTTGCAACAATCCTGAAGTTACACCTCCCAACAACTGACCGCAGAAAAAGAGACAAACTCGGGAGCTGATCTCATCGGGGGCATACCAGGCACCGAGAATAATTTGTGACACGGGATAGTACGCGGAACCAAATGCACTCACCATGAAACGGTAAGCTCTAAGTTCAGCCAAAGAATTGGCTCTGTAGCACGCAAAGGTGAAAAAAGACCATCCCAGGTCCATGATGGGCAAAATGAGATGGGTAGGGAATCTGGGGAGAAAGTACATGAACGGCAGCTGTAACACAATTGCGCCTACGTTAGATATGGCGGTGGTGTTAATATAATCATTTTTGGTCATGTTTAGATCCTTTTGCATTCCTGAGAAATAGGCGTTAGTGTAGTTGTTGGTATCGAGCGACTTGCACCAGCACAGCATCAAAAAATAAAGACCGATCATCAAGTCTAGCTTGTAAAGTAAAGTACGTTCTGCTTTGGTTTGTGTCGTATGGTTTGGGTATAGGAAAGTGTACCAAGACCTCTCCTTCTTGTACTCAGAGTTAGCACGATATTCGAACTCATCGAAGTATTTCCACCATTTGCGGCCCTTTTCGTCGCGCAATTCGTATGGGATTCCACTTTGCACTTTGTCAACCGTATCCTGAGGTTCACTCTCTACCGCTTCAACGTTAGTGCCGTCGTCTTTGCTCAAATGCAGCGTTTTTTCGTGTTCATCCGCAGTGCTCATAGAAGCCTCACTGCCATCGTAAGAGAGCTGCTCTTCTGGAAGAACTCGCGGGGTTGGAATAATACCGCGCAGCTTTGGAAAGATTCCCATGTCCTGATTGTGTTGGAATTTAGGCAGTAGCTTTGGCTTGATTATGGTGTGCTACGACTGTTTGACACTCCATGCGAAAGCTAAGAGCTAAGATATCGCTGCCTTTAAATACATTTTGGGCGAACAATCTTTGTTGAGCTCAAACGCTCATTTCGCCTGCTGTAATTTTTCACTATCTTTAAATCTTATTAGTGCCATTTTGACTAATTTGAGTCATGTTCCCCTGACTCAGCAGTCAAAAGACCCTTTCGACAATGGTAAAGAGGCGACTAACGACTCAAACAGCCTGTTTTAAGTGTTAGAATGGCTCAATTTCCAGTGTTTGCAGACGGGGTGAGCCAATTGTTGGAAGTAAGATCGTTGGGAGGTGAGTTTTAGTTTACAGCTTGTGAGATCATAGATGACTCTAGATCGTGTGTGGCTCTTATTTGTTGTGCACCGCATCCTCCCTTCAAATCAGTTCAAACACCTTGTTCATCCAAGTGCTCAGTATTACACGAGGACTCTTTAGCCAGTAACAGACGAGTCTCATGACAACATTGGACGCCCGAACCGAAATTTAGCAGATATGATCAGAAACAACTTCAAAAGATTTTAAGCTCCACAATTGGATGAAGAAGTACGCTTCTGGTGACTTTCAGCTATCGCCTGCAATGAGAGGGATTGACACTTAGTGATTGTTTGATTGCCCTCTGAGTCATGCTATAGAACTTTACAACGAGATATATGTCTCTACGGAACTCTGATAGTTCTATCGAATATTGTGAATAGAGAGAAGTCTTCAGGTCGAATCACAATGTTCAAAGCGCCCTGTACGTTTTTGGAGTTGACAGGTTTATATCGTTTTTACGAGGCCTCTTTTCATTCATCTCCTTATACGAAAGACAAGCCATATAAAAAGCTGAAAATTTTTATGAACAGCTTTACTTCTATCCACCACTTTCAGAACGTAAGAACAGGAACTTAATCAAGAAGGTATGATATGAGCGAAACAATCGTTAAAAGTCTTCATGTTTGAAGAAGAATACGTGGTATCATCTTGGTTTTGGCCAAAATTTTAAAAGGCCAATTCAAACAACAAGACGAAAAAACAAGACGAGATAACTTTTCGTCGATCAAGCATGTGAATTGCTTGACTGATGTAATTGACGCAAGAATCGAGTATGAGTGCCTCTTCAACGCCGAGTTCAATATAGTAGTTGCGCGTTCTGTTGAACAGGCGCTACTATGAAGTTGCATGTCTCGATACCTTTTGTGTCTATGGCTCCATGGGCGGTGAATTTTTGGTTCCTGCTCTTGGAAATGGTATTGTGACTCCAATGATTTTTTGGATACTCACGATACCTCTTTGAACTAGACTCGCATTATAACTTCCACCTGCACTACATCGTTTGTAGATAAAGATGGAGGAAATATAATTGGTCGCATTACTAACAGTCGGATTATTTCAGAAAAAAATGGCCCGCGCATCAGTTCTAGCAGACGCTCTCAACTCCATCAACAATGCCGAAAAAACTGGTAAACGTCAAGTTTTGATCAGACCCTCTTCAAAGGTCATCATCAAATTTTTGCAGGTTATGCAAAAGCATGGTATGTTTATCCTTTAACTCCCACAGCGAAATTTTTTTTCTCAACCTCTCATGCGAAAATAAAGAACACGCATTCCCTTTTGATTTAAAACCGGACTGATAGCTGGATGGTTTGATCGGACAGTGTTAAACTGTACAATTTCAGTCCCTTACTGTCTTTTAAGCGTCCGGGATAATAATGATTTGAAAATGCTTCTTACACGACTGAACCTTTATCAGTGGTTTCAACTCGTTTACTTTTTCTCGACATCAAAACTTAATCATAAGGTTGTATGCGTGCTCTGTTTTCAATTGGAAGTGCACAATTAATGCAGTACTAACGTTGTCAGGTTACATCGGTGAGTTTGAATACATTGACGATCACAGATCTGGAAAGATTGTTGTTCAGCTGAACGGAAGACTTAACAAATGTGGTGTTATATCTCCACGTTTCAACATCAAATTTAACGACATCGAGAAATGGACCGAGAATCTTCTCCCAGCAAGACAGTTCGGTTACGTTATTTTGACAACTTCTGCTGGAATTATGGACCATGAAGAGGCCAGAAGAAAGCACGTTGCAGGTAAAATTTTGGGATTCGTTTATTAAATGTCGTAACAATTTTCGACTCATCTCATAAAACCTTGTATACTAGAAATTAAATGTTAAGCAATGACTCGGCTATCAAATCAATTGAAGTGCAAGTAAATAACTCTCAATGGGCAGAGCACAAACTTGAAACCGTCCTCTTCTTGATGTCACCGCATGAGAACATGCTTCTTGATTGCCAATGTCAGCATAGCTTCGAATTGTCTGACCATTGAACTGCAGGACCTAATTGTGGGAACGTCCAGTTTTAGCTGTTCGACTGGTAGAAGGTGTCAAAGTTGACGGCTCGTGATCTTGGTTACGGGACCTACTGTGTACGAAGTTCGCCAACCCCCCATGAAAGACATGACCCGGCCTGTGAGCTGGTACACTAATAGGCTCGAAAGATGCTCTCTCAGAGGGTGGACTTTCGTCAGAGTTTTCATAGGAAGGTGTCAGCTCAAGGAATGGTAAAGCCGGCTCGTCTTCTGCATCTTCTCCTACCTGTTCATAGTCTGGTAGCTTATTCAATTCTTCAAGAGATAAGTCCTGAGCAGATCTCGTGAGGTTATCGAGCAAAAAGCTGCTTTCGGTAGTGGCCCTCAATAAAGGACGGTTTTGAATTGGGCTTGCAGTCCTACTTCGCATGAGCTCAGGAGTTGGGCTGGTACAAGTTGCAGCTCCTTCATACAACTGATCATGCATGTGGTTAGAATAGGTGGGCGGAGCTTCGATATCCTCCTGAGGAAAGTAATTCACGGCAAGCGACCCGTCATCCAACCGCTGCAAATTATTCAATGAGGCGGAATTTTGAGAATGACCTACAGGATTTTGTTTTTCGAAGATACGCACTCCTTCTCCAGGACGAAAATGAACTTTTCCCGCGTTGTCCAGCAACACAAGACGTCCTTCTAAAGGAACATGTGGAGACACATACAGAAAGACTGGAATATTTGCCTTGATTTCTGTGCTCTTGTCCTCTTCACCCACTTTTCTTTTCAGGCAGATCTTGATACTTAGTTTGTGACGGACCCTTATGGCGTCAAATCCTATATCACAGTCCTGCGTCACTTGTTTGAGGCTTTTAGGGAAGCTGAGAGACGATTCCAACTCGATTTTATCCGTAACGAGATTCTCTCTTGTAGGGTCACACCCGTTCAAGTCCTTGAAATTGGCCATGCCCTGGTGCATCACAACGCTTTCGTCATCATAAAGCTGCCCATTTCCATCCTTAAACGCGTAGTATTGGATCAAATCCGCGTCTATCTTGATAAGTCGATAACCCTTCTGGAAAGGGTACAGGTTGATTGTAACAGGCGTTACTCCACCAATAGGAATGGCACGACTAGGGATAGAAATTTCGTACTGCAATCTGTCCGGCCAGCTTTTTGCCACGCTCATTTCCTCCCCTACAGCCATGTTATTGGGTGATAGTGTGCGAAAGATACGCAGGTATTTGTGTTTTGAGAATGAGGTTTTAAAACTGCCCCGGTCCACATGTGCCTCGAACTTATACAGTACTGAGCCGGCCTGTAAACCTTCAATAGTCTCTGCTGTGTGAGGAGGAAGCGATACCTTAAAGGGTAGCTCGTAATTTCCTTCACTCAAAACGAACGATTGTCCTGGATTAGTCGCAACACCGCCATAAGGAGTCGAGCTTACTCCGTTTGGTGGCAGGTGGAGAGCTGGGCTAGAAGAGGTTTTCTTAATTGGTTTTAGCAGATTGTTGAGTGAAGTGCTGGACAATGCAGAGCTCGATGTTGCTTGTGAGCTACTATTGGACGCCGACTCCCCGTCTTCTGTAGATCCAATACTGATTGTACCATCTGAAGAAACAAGGAGATTATTCCAAACACATTCAAAAATCGTCTTGCGCTCTTTTACTATGCTTGCAAGACTCGAGTTCTTGTGATGGCCAACTTGCAGAAATTCCAGCTTAAAAGTTCCCACAAGCTTCAAAGAGATCTTTTTCACTGTAACGGACTCTGGAATAGATAATACCAAGTGCCCACTGATTGGTATCGGTGATGCTTCCAATGGTGTCCCATGTATCAATACTATATTCTTGTATGGGGACTTCAACCTAATATCGAAATAGACAGGTTGGACCGAGTTATTCGATAGCTTGCCGAGCGAAAACATCGATACTGACCGTTCGAGTTCAATTGCTGATGAAAGAAGTGTATAGTTGGAGCGTTTTATGGGGTGATGAATCTACAAAGAAGTTACCTTTTTATATTAAAACATGTATCGCAGATGAAAGTGACTAAATTAGTGAATTTGACTAGGTCATCGAATCGTGAACCTAAACTTTGAAAAACTCGCAAGATCTCTTCTCTACATCAAGTTTTCTCTGATAGTTTGATGGGATCTTTACCATCAGACTTACCGAAGGAAATATGGCTGAGTTTATTTGGTTATTTGGATAGCAAGGACTTGCTTAGCTTGAGAGCGTGCTCGCATGAGTTCAATGAGCTGGTCAAAACCCAGTCGATATGGATTTCAAGATGCTACAAAAGATGGTTGGAAATAGAAAGTGAGGATCCTTTAATTGAACAATCAGATGAGCATTCAAGGGTACGTCCAAAAGACGATTGGTTTTATTATTTTAGGTACCGAAATCGAATTGATACACACGTAATGAACACGCTAATCAGCCTTTCGAAAGGTACATCGAGGGAATTGGATAACTATGGCGATTTGATGGAAGGTCTGTCAAAATTTGGCGCTTTAACGGTACCGCTGTTGCGAAAAATCGAATTGGAAGGTTATAAAGAACAACATAGCTTTGTTGTCACATATCTCGCTCGACAGCTAATGCTGATGTTACGGCATCGAAGTTTTTTCCAGCTTATAGACGACGCATTTGCTACAGGTGCCAACGAATGGGTTCATTACGCTGAAGTAACCGCTTTTCTTCCCTTGGCAACCATGGATCTTGCCTTCAACCGTCTTTTACCTCACAGAAACAAGATATTTGCGCAGGTTAATCTGCAAATAGAACAAACCTTTGAAGACCGGTCGCAGTTTATGAGAATGCCATCTACACTTCGACTGGACAACATCATGAAACATCTCTTTCAGGCGTTGGACGTCGCCCGAGGTGATCGACTTCCGCAACGATCACGCTATGTTCTAGACGATTTCTTACTGTTAAGGGTGTATTCAGGGGAAGCTAAGGGCCACCCGATGCTGCTACTTGCCATTATACAGACGATTTCCGCAATGTACAATATTGAGACGGTACTATGTGAGAGTTTTTTAATTGTTCGCGATGATCGCATCCGCAATGGCGAAACGTACGTTACAATATCCCAAGCGGGATACCCAAGGATTTTCACGAGGAACAACCTCGTGGAATCTATGCTGCGTTCAGTGCCCGATAGACAGGTGGTTTTATCCTCCGTATTGCCGAAGTTACTTCAACCGCTGAAGCTGCAAGACTTATTGCGCAAAGTATTCGACGAATTTTCCCCTCAATGCAAGAAATCATACTGGGATTTGGCGTCTGATAGAAGGATGGAATCTCTTTGGTCTTTGATGCCGTTTAGCAGAGTTCCAGCCCAATATTTGGACTATGAGTACTATCAAATGTTTTGGCAACTACGGATGGCCTCATCCCAAGGACAAAAGACGGCGCTGCTGGGAAAATCGTTTCTGAGATTCGCTACTTCTCGTTATCCCCACGATCGTCTTGTGCTGCATCATTTGATTCACATTGAAGAAGGTGAAGAGGAAAAAGAATTCTCCGACACGTTTCTAAACGGGCCACAAAGCCTGCATCCTCTGTTTGCGAGGTATTCAGCCGAGAAATGCAATCAGTCCCTGGTGGGCTTTATAGTCCAGGAAAAGAATCGAGACCTCGTGCAAATAGTTGTGGCCACCAAAATGTCGCCGCGAGGTTCTCTGTATGTCAGTTTACTGAACCCATTTGGCGAGCTTATGGTTCTTTCGAGCGAGGATATCCAAGTTATAGAGTCTGATCGGATCTCACCTGAGCTAGTTTCAGAGTTATTGCATGGTTTGTCTTTGTCTGAACTGGGATTATTTTTCTCGCATTTCGACGAGGATACACACAAGTTTGTCACAAGCCCGATGTACGCTGCGCACATTGCCGTTGAGTGAACTTGAGACAAATTATGAGTGATTCAAAACTTCTGCATCTAAGGAACGTAATAAGTTCCGCAATAAACATTTAAAGCCCGACACAACAAGCTTGAAAAAGACGATGGTTGTCCGGCAGCCGTATTATTCCGCCAAAAATCACATCTCGAGATACAAGACCCATTAGAATTCGAGATTAATTATCTGGAAAAAGCTTTGGCAAGCCATTCTTCTTTAGCGCTCTGAGCAGAACCCTCATGGCGTTGTGAAGGAGATACATATTTCCAGTGCTGGTCTCACCTGGCCTGTTCTTGTTCTTTAGCTAGATGACCATATTTTGCACGTGACTTCTAAATAGCATTTAATATCGAGTTCGGAATATATTATAAGTTGCGAAAGGTAACCTTCTCAGTTGCAAGCTTTAGGGTTCTAAGCAAAGCAACGCATTGTAGAGACATTATACCTCAATCCGATGATTAGGGCTTTTTCAAGACTGAGATTTGGCTTGCCATCAATACGCGGTTCAAGGTGGGCTAGTTCCAAAGTCATAGGAATCGATTTAGGAACGACAAATAGTGCAGTCGCTTACATTAGAGACCCTCTCGACCTCAAGTCAGTAACTATAATAGAAAACGACGAGGGTAAAAGAACAACTCCTTCTGTAGTAGGATACGACGTAAAGAATGGCTCCTATGTTGTAGGAGAGGCCGCTAAGCGACAAGCGCTGATCAACCCCGAAAACACGTTTTACGCTACAAAACGGCTCATTGGACGTATATTTCAAGATCAAGAAATCCAAAAGGACTTAAGACACATGCCTTTCAAAGTCTTGGAAAACCCAAGCAATAAGCAAGCATATCTGTCAACATCGACAGGAGAAATTAAATCTCCGGGCGAAATTGGCTCAGCAGTCCTAAGCTATTTGCGAAAGACAGCAGAGAACTACCTGAACGAAGAAATCAACAAAGCCGTAATCACTGTTCCAGCTTATTTTAACGATTCCCAAAGGCAAGCCACAAAAGATGCAGGAAAAATGGCAGGGTTGAACGTTCTCAGAGTAGTAAATGAGCCCACAGCGGCAGCGTTGAGTTTTGGTCTCAATACAAGTGAATACTCCGGTATAATTGCTGTTTACGATTTAGGTGGGGGAACATTCGATATATCCATTTTGGACATCGAAGGTGGCGTTTTTGAAGTTCGGGCCACCAACGGTGACACCCATTTAGGCGGTGAGGATTTTGACAATGTAGTGATCAACTACATTGTTGATAAATTCGTTGAAGCCAATCCAGATGTCACCAAAAAAGAAGTGCTAGAAAATCGGGAAGCGATGCAGAGGATCAGAGCAGCTTCCGAGCAGGCAAAAATAGAGCTGTCTCACGTCAAAGAGACGAGCGTCAACATTCCATTTCTTTATAAAAATAAACACGTCGAGATACCACTGTCGGAAAGCCAGCTTGACGAAATGACGCTGGATCTCATAGAAAAGACAATTCCACCTGTCAAGAGAGCGCTGAAAGATGCAGAAATTGAGCCAGAAGAAGTTGACGAGGTAATTTTGGTAGGAGGTATGACGAGAATGCCCAAGATCAGATCAACTGTCTCTCGCGTTTTCGAAAAACAGGTCAATACAAGCGTGAACCCCGATGAGACGGTAGCGTTGGGAGCCGCAATTCAAGGAGGAGTACTTTCAGGTGAGATAAAAAATGTTTTGCTGTTAGACGTGACGCCGTTGACCTTGGGCATTGAAACATATGGAGGGGTTTTCTCACCCCTCATCCCACGCAATACCACTGTTCCTGTGAAGAAAACCGAGGTTTTCAGTACTGGTGTAAATGGTCAAACAGGAGTGGATATAAGAGTTTTCCAAGGTGAAAGGGGTCTGGTAAAGGATAACAAACTAATAGGAGATTTCACGCTCGCGGGTATTACACCGATGCCAAAAGGTGTCCCACAAATTGGGGTAACCTTCGACATCGATGCGGATGGTATCATCAATGTGTCGGCGGCTGAAACTGGCACTGGTAAAGAGAACTCAATCACGGTAATAGCCAATTCAGGACTCACAGAGGAGGAGATTAACAGGATGGTCGAGGATGCCAATGCTAATAAAGAAATGGACAATTTGATACGTCAAAGGGTGGAGCTAATTACAAAGGCGGATATTATGATTTCAGATACTGAAAATGCATTTGAACGATTTAAGGAAACGATTATGAAAAGTCAATTATACCCTGAGATACTCGCAGAGCTACAAGATACGCGTGCTATGATCATAAACTTCAAAGAAAACGAATCTGATCTGAGCTTGGACGTGAACGACGTAAAAAGAGCCACAGATCAAGTACAGAAACGTGCCATGCAGCTTTTCCAGGATGCATCAAAAAAATAGACTAATATACACCGAATATCATGGACATTTTCATTCTCGTCTAAATATGAGATATACGTTCGTGCACGATCGACACTTTGAGCTCTGAGGTATTATTTAATACGACATCACACTCACAAGGACTTGTTCATGAAACGTCTTCTAGTGAAAGCAAGCCAAAACTTCGAGGGCTTCTCCTTGGAGTCCACATAAAGTCTTTCTAGCAAACGCGTTGCAAGCTCCTGGCGGAACTGTTGAATATAAGATTTGAGCAGATCCATATCAGCATGGCTTTGCACCGGTACCGAGTACACGTTATTCATTGGGAAACCTGGCGTTCCTGGTACTGCGAAGTCGTCGAGCGCCACATTTGTGAGCAACTTTAAGGCTTCATTGTAGGATGTGGTAGGTTTGAGTTGTGACAGACACTCGTTGACGAACAGAATTCCGTAAATCAAAATCCGATCCGCCGGTGACCTAATTTCGAAGTTTTTGAAAAACGAGTTAGCTCTGAACAGATCCAGGCATTCATCAATGATATCATAATCAGAGTTGGCCTGGTATGCGGGTCCCCGAAAATTCGTCTTTAGGGGCAGCAACACCACGTTTCCCACCATGCGATCATTTTGGGAGTCTGCAGCGAACGTAGAATGGTAGGCCTAGAGATAGAGAGTTAGTTGAACGATCAGAGACGAGCCAAACAACGATAAAGAATAACTTACTGGCATTATATGAGCTTTTAAAATTTGGAATAGTCTCCTTTAATTTCAAAACAATTCAATGTCGGGATTGAAACTGATGCAACTGAAATGAAGAGGTGGATCAGCAGGAAAGCTCAAAAGGTATTATTGGAGGCTTTGCAAACCTTTGATACAGGCTAGTTACGTGATCGTTTGACTCCTTTCCAAGTATGTTCTCGAGAACATCCTTTACTTAAGAGAATGGTGTATGTTGGTAATTATATTGACAGGATTCTGCAGATCATGTGACATTTAAATCTCGTGATCCACCTATATAGTCACTATGAACGTAAAACGAGGATCTACTTCAGAATAAGGGATGTCTATTAATTCATAGTCACTTCTTGACTCATGTAGCTCTTTCACTACCGTAGAAGCACACTCTGCAGTGCTTTTGCGATAGAATCACTAGTCAAAATGTTACAAAAGGGAGCTCAAGTAGTCCAGTTGAGTTAGCGACTTAGAAAGCGAAGATGCTCTGACTCCGGAACTCTTTTTTAAGGCACTTTTTAGGGTTTCCACCTCGGCGGCTGTTTTTCATAGGGTCAAAAAAATGACAACAGAAGATATTGTGGATGACTTCGAGAGCAAGAACAACAATGAAATACCGTGTTTGCTGCGCTTATACTCAATTGACCATTGTTGTGTGGAATTTGCCATTCAAAACAAGGCGGAGGACATTCAGATTCGGAAAAAAAAAACGAAGTCCAAGTCACACAAAAAATCAATGTCATCGGCTAGCTTGTGACCGTGGTATAAATGCTGTCTGCTTGTCTTTTGTGGAATGTTGCGTCCAACATAAATTAAAGGACTGCGAAATATTCTGAAGGCACATTTGTCGAAATCAATGAGGATAGTTTTCTTCGAACAGACTTGTTGAAACCCTTCAAAACTGATGCCATAAGGTCGGGGGCTGTTTTTATCTACTTCGGCTGTAAATTGTCGAAATTCGAGTCCTTCGCTAATCGCACAGACTTCCAAACCACGACAATCAAAGCTCTCCAACTAAAGAATACGACGTCGAAGACTTTCATTTTTGCGAAACTCATCTGCCGCCTGCTTGAGTGTTCGTTCATTGAGTCGGCCCTGGTACGTGGTTCGAAGATGATTAATTCCCACAATACTGACCTCATCGACCCTGAAGAAGCAAAAACCTTGAACCACGATTGATCTGTGATAGACGAAAAATCAAAGAGACCTTATGACTACCACATCAGTCTTTCTCAATTGCTAGCCATGCCCGCAGTTGTCCCACGTTCATGGGTTCTACCGCGTAACATCTCTTCACAGTCACATGATACTAATTCCGTACTCATCTCACTACGGGGTGAAAATGTACAATTTTTTGTATGAGTACCGGCCGTCAATTGTTCAAATCATTGGACAATCCATCATTCCCACTGCACATACGAAACATCAAGAGGCTGCTACGGATAAAAACGAGTCTTATCAGAAACCTTTGGACTGTTTCTTGAAGAACTGGTGATAGTGAGTACGCCAGAAAGTGTCAGTGGATCGATTCCCGTGGGCTAGAAGACCGACTGAGAGTAGGCCATAGGGGCGCACGGAAATACGGCAGAAAAAGCAGAAAGAACAGCATTACTTGCGCATATAAGAACAAATTGAAGACCACGCATGTCACAGGATTGGCAGTCTGTTAGAAACGGACTTGAAATTTACAGCGAAATATTTGGCGTAGAACGTCCACAGCAGGTCAGGAAAAGCGATCGAGATGCTCACAAACAGCAGGCCGCGATACCCAATCGATTCGAGCACATTGATCTGCTACAAGACGCCATTGTAGGGGACATACAGGATGACATTGTACCAATGGAGGTGCAGAATTATATTCTGTCTCACGATGCAGAACTGCGGTCTGTTTCAGATACCCAGAGCTTGTCCAGCAACGAAGAAGTCGAAGACTCGGTTCCGAGATCACAATTGGCGGGGGCAGTGGTTGCTCAGCGTGCAACGAACCCCTCACAGGTCTCAGTACCGTATTCTGTAGAAGAGCTCCCACCAGCCCACAAAACGGGTTCTGAACACGGACGTCGTGTTCCCCCGCCGCCATTAGATACTTTGCCAATGGGTCCTAAGCTGGCGCCTCACAAGTCTGTGGCGACGTCACAGCCTGCTAGCTACTCTCCACAAAGGTTCCAAAGCGGTGTTCCTAAGCTCAAGTCGTCATTCAGCCAATTTGCTGTAGGAACTACACAGGACTATCCCAAAAAACAGGTTCTAAACAGCTACTCTGAGCCACACGGCTCGACCGGAGGACAGAAAAAATCGCCTTTGCAAAGCTTCGGGCTGTTTTCGAAACCAAGCTTGAAAGAGGGCAGTTCAGATCAACATTATGGGACTCATTCCGCCTCAGCTGGAAGTAATGCTAATAGCCCTAGTTCAAGATCTATGTCTTTCACATCCTCATCATTGAAAAACTTTGCAAGCTCTTTCCAACAGAAAACTTCGAATGGCCGTACTGTGTCTCAGAAACATGTTGCATCTTCTAATCCGTTTTACGAGACTCAATATCAGAATCATTCTCACTACTCGAACAGTACCATTAATACTGCGCAACTGCCACATGGATTGGGGCTGAAGTCGAGAAATTCATCCGCATCCCTCAATAGTTCTCAAACTAATACGAATGCTAGAAAACTGTCTTCCACTTCTTTGCATTTTCACCGTCAAAGCAGTGCATCCTTACATTCTAAGCCAATTTTGAGCGCGACCTCTATGAAGAGGCCTCAAGTTTATCCTGCCATGCTTTCCCGCGTTGCAACGCGTTTCAAGAAATCCGTTCAATTAGGTGAGCACAAAAAGGATGGTCTTCTCTACAGAGATACTTTTACAGGACAACAGGCAGTAGATGTCATTTGCTCTATTGTTAGAACGTCTGATCGGAACCTGGCTCTCTTGCTGGGTCGAGCCCTCGATGCTCAAAAGCTATTCCACGACGTGGTGTACGAACACAGGCTTCGCGATTCTCCCAACGAAGTTTACGAGTTCACTGGCAACTCCCGCATAATTGGCGGTGGATCAACAGGCATGGTCCCGGCGTCTCAAGACCCTTTGTTAATGGGATCCCTCAATTCTCACATATCCTCCCATGCATCAAAGTCTACTCTTGCTACATCTGTCTCAACCAATTCAGTTGCTAGTGAGGTATTCGAGAAACAAATGGATCCTGCCAAAATGCATCAGGTGAATGGTGTGTTCACGCTTCTCGCGGAGTGCTACGTTCCAACTTGCTCGCGAAACAGACTTTGTTATTCTATTTCATGCCCTCGTCGTTTGGAGCAGCAAGCGCGACTAAACCTCAAACCAAACACCGGATTGAAGCGCAATATTTCCATGGCTGTCGATGATGAAGAAGAAGAAAAGCCTTCGTGGACAAGCTCTGTTCCTGAGGAGGTTTGGTCCTCGTTATCGAAGAAAGAAATAAAACGACAAGAAGCTATTTATGAAGTTTTCATCACAGAGAAGAACTTTGTGAAGTCTCTGGAAGTCATAAGAGACACATTCATGAAATCTCTTGCTGAAACAAACATCATAGCCGCCGACATCAGAAAAAATTTCTTGAAACATGTCTTCGCGCATGTAAACGACATCTATTCTGTGAATAGACGCTTTCTTGATAGCCTGAGTGATCGGCAAAAGTCATCTCCTATCGCGGACGGCATTGGTGACTTATTCCTCAGGTTCATACCATTTTTTGAGCCATTTGTGATGTACGTTGCATCGAGACCCTATGCCAAGTACCTTATAGAAACACAGCGGTCAGTTAATCCGTACTTCGCTAGATTCGACGAGGACCTCATGAATTCATCTCTACGGCATGGAATAGATTCCTTTTTATCGCAAGGTGTGTCAAGACCGGGTCGTTATATCTTGCTGGTGCGAGAAATCATAAAATCATCAGACCCGGAAAAGAATAAAAGAGATTTGGAAAATCTCAACAAAGCCTTGGAGGCACTACGAGAGTTCATGACAAGAATCGACCGCGCGAGTGGTGCCTCACAGGACAGGCATGATATCGAGCTTTTGAAGCAGAAAATTTTGTTCAAAAACGAGTACGTCAACTTGGGCCTTAACAATGGGAAAAGGAAGATCAAACACGAAGGCGTGCTCTCGAGAAAGGAGCTGACGAAGTCAGATAGTACGTTTGGTGGTGATATCCAATTTTATCTCTTGGACAATATGCTCTTATTTCTCAAGGCTAAAGCCGTCAACAAATGGCAACAGCATAAAGTTTTCCAAAGACCAATCCCGCTACCACTTTTGTTTGTATGCGCTGGCGAGGACATGCCACCCATCAGGAGATACGTTAACATGTCACCTGAAAGCTCTGGAATAGTAATCCCCTCGGACAGTCATAACAACAACCCTAGAAACGCAATTACATTTCTGTATTATGGCGCGAAACACAAGTACCAAGTCACGCTGTATGCAGCACAGTACGCGGCATTACAGACTCTTTTGGAAAAGATCAAGCAAGAGCAGGCTCTTCTACAGGCTTCAAATGATATATTCAATGTCACAAAAGTCAGTAGCAGGTTTTTCGACTTTACCAATAAAATCAACAGTGTCGCTTCGTGTGATGGGGGGCGCAAACTTTTGATCGCTACTAATTTAGGCTTGTACGTCAGTGACACCAAGCGAGAAGTTTCCGCTCACGGACACGAAGCAACAACTTACTTCGCAAGTCCGATTCGTATTCTTCACAAAAGCATCGCTCAAGTGGCAGTGCTGGAAGAGTTCCAGTCGATTCTGGTGCTCTTGGACAAGAAACTTTACAGCTGTCCGTTGGCGTTGCTAAGGGAGCAAAAAGACGGCACGCAGTATTTTAAAAAGCATGCCAAGGAGCTCGTGAATCACGTCAATTTCTTCTCCGAAGGCGACTGCGACGGTAAACGGCTTGTAGTGACAGCGCATAGCTCGTCGCATTCTATCAAGTATTTTGAACACGACCATCCCATGCTTGCTGAGGGCAAGAAAAACGTGAAACGCAAGGTGCACGAGATTGTTTTTGAATCCGAGCCTGTTTCCATCTCTTTCCTCAAGACCAATTTATGCATCGGTTGCAAGAAGGGATTTCAGATTGTTTCTGTGTCGCAGAATGTGCACGAGCCTCTGTTGGATCCTGCCGATACCTCTCTGGACTTTGCATTTAAAGACGTGTTGAAGCCTCTGTCCATTTATCGTGTGGGCACATCCATGTTTCTACTGTGCTACTCGGAGTTTGCATTTTTCGTGAACAGCCAAGGTTGGCGCAAGAAAGAATCCTATGTCATCCACTGGGAAGGTGAGCCGCAAAAGTTTACCATCTGGTACCCCTACATCCTCGCGTTTGACCCCAACTTCATTGAGATTCGTAAGATAGACACCGGCGAGCTTGTGCGGTGCGTCTTGGGCGACAAAATACGTTTACTACAGGCCACGTCCCAGCAAATCCTCTACGCTTACGAAGATGAAAACGGCTACGATACAGTCGTGTCCCTCGACTTCTGGAGCAAATGACAGAGCTTCAAGTCCCAAAACTCAAATGAGCATTAAATCTTACCCTTCACTTCAATTCAAACCTTAATCCTTCTGCACATGACATGTTCTCGAAATTTCATCAACAACGAACTACTATCTCATCACTATTGCCTTTTTTTTTCCTTCACTCTTCGAGATGCTCGACGTTCAACCACGCGCACAAAATTTTTTTTCCAGGATGCCGTTAAAGGAAGGAAACAACATATCAACAGTTTCTCTTCTCGAAATTTAACAACTTTCAAAAGTTTTTGGTAAGTTTGGAAAGTTTGACTTGGAAGCAGTTGGAGTTTTGCTGACAGTTCTGGCAGTCAAATCGTGTGGTTGTTGTTTTTGAACCAGGCTCTATAAAATGGAACAACTGAAAACGCAGATCCAGCCTTTGGCACAGCAGCTGAAGGCCCAAATTGAACCGTATGCGGATCAGGTCCGGACTCATGTTGGACCCTACGCAGAACAGCTTAAGACGCAGATCCAACCATACGCGGAACAGGTTTTGAGAAAGACAGAAGCGTACTCATGGATCAATTTGCATGTTCCATCCGTGGCGCATCCCTTCGGACTGGAGCTGTGGCCTATTTTCAGCAAAGTGTTCGAAAAATATGCCGGATACCCTGCGGAAGACTTTGACTTCATCTACAACAAGACGTTCATGGCCAATGGTTACCAGGCTATCGGAGTGATTATCGTTTACTACATTGTGATTTTTGGCGGACAGGCCATTCTACGTGCATCGAATGCGTCTGCTGTGAAATTGAGCTTTTTGTTTCAACTTCACAACTTGATTCTCACTTCTGTGTCTTTGATCCTATTGCTGTTGCTGGTCGAGCAATTGGTGCCAATGGTTGCGGAACACGGTTTGTTCTGGTCTATCTGTTCCAAAGATGCATTTGCGCCTAAATTGGTGACTTTGTACTACTTGAACTATCTGACCAAATACGTGGAGTTGATCGACACTGTGTTTTTGATCTTGAAGCGTAAGAAGCTTTTGTTTTTGCACACCTACCACCATGGTGCTACCGCTTTGTTGTGCTACACACAGTTGACCGGACGCACTTCTGTTGAATGGGTTCCAATCAGTTTGAACTTGGGCGTCCACGTGGTTATGTACTGGTACTACTTTTTGAGTGCCCGTGGCATCAGAGTGTGGTGGAAAGAATGGGTTACAAGATTCCAGATCACTCAGTTTTTGATCGATTTGGTATTTGTGTATTTTGCCACTTACACTTTCTACGCTCACAAGTACTTCAACGGCATCTTGCCCAACAAGGGAACCTGTTACGGCACCCAGGATGCTGCTGCCTACGGATACTTGATTTTGACCTCCTACTTGGTGCTTTTCATTTCGTTTTACATCCAGAGCTACCGCAGAGGCGCCTCAAAGAAGAATGCCGCGGTCCGCGCTGCCTCTCAAGTTGCTGAGGAGGCCACCACCGCTGCCACCACGGGCAACAACGTCCACACCACCAAGGCCACTTCTAGAAAGGCTTAAGTTTGCAGTCTTCTGGGGGTGGTAAGCAACGCAATCGAATTTGCATTTACTGTCGAAGTGACATGCCGTTGGGCGTTGTGATGTGCGCGAGGGTACGTTCAAAATTTCATTGCGTCTCACAACGCATTACCAACGCCTCTGTATAAACACCATATTCATACCGCAAGATGGGTTTCGAAAAAGTTTGGTGACCGGTACTGGAGTTGTGCGCGCATGCATTCAGTTTTTAGCATTTTATTATGTGTAGCCCACATATGAATACGTAAGCGAATCCTGACTCGACCGACGAGTACTTTCAACAATATTATAAAAGCATTTCATACGGACAGAAGATTATCAAAAAAAAACCACACAAATATCACAGTACACGAGCGAAGCTAACCAAATCCAAAAACTTCTGAAAAGCGAGATTGTGCTTTCCCTGTTTTTTCAAACTCAACATACCTTACACGTTCTCCTCCACGAGTGAGCTACCCCTATGTATTTTATTCCTTCTTTCTTAGTTGTTGTTTTTTCGCTACCTATATCACTATAGTTTTTTCCGACGTTCTACGGCCTCGAGACCAACCGTATTTGCATGTATGTATTATGCACCAAGACCAAGACCAATACGTATCCATATTGCCGACTAACACACCAGATTTTACGAAATATGCATGCGCAATGCAATGCACATAAGTGAGCCCAAAAAGCACGTTACGGGGCATTGGATCCTGCTTAATGTTGCATCGCAGGCGATGGATGGTACGAAGAAAAAGATTGGATCTTCCCCCACCGCCTTTTCTTCTAACCAGCCGTGCTTTTGAAAGTCCGTAAATGATAAACCTATGCTCAAAGGTCCAAGAGACGGGGAAGGGAGGAAAAAAAGCTCTGAAGGATGTACAAGAGCACAAAATTTCACACCGACGAGAAACAAAACCACTCACGAGCCAACTGGGTCTAAAACCTGCGTTTTCCCTCCCCCCTCCCGACTTTGTTTTTTTCAGTAGTAGGTTATCTGAACCTGAGCTCTTTGCTAGTGCTTGCAAGAGAAGAACAAAAACCGAAAAAAAAAAAATAAAGCACTAGTACGGAGTTTTGTCGTGGCGCTTCCTTTTCCAACCGAGTTTTGAACCGTTTTGACCACTCATCTTGTTGTTGTTGTTGTTGTTGTTGTTGAAAATCGAATGCTGATTATTCTCAACCTTGCTCGTAATGCGACGTTTTTCTGCAGTTTTGGACTGGAAAAAGTCCGGTCTACCTAAAACCTTGTGCTGTTCGTCTTTTCATGTAGGGCATTGAAGAGCGGGTTGTGCGTACGTGAAGAAGTAAATTAGACAAGCTCGACACTGTCTGAGAGTGATCAGCCGTGTATGCACAAGCAAGACAGCCAATAATCTCCGGAACCACGGGCTTGCATCTGTGCCGCATTGCAGGCAAACATATCGGCATTCGCTATAGTTCGAAATTTTGGCTTCCAGTTTCGGACAGCGTAAGTACCTGCTTTGAAATGTGCAGATACTATATAAACTCTAGAAGCGAAAACTGACGCGATCTAAGCCAGGTAAGTGGTTGGATTTTTTGGGGTCTTTGAGGTCCCTAGAGAGCGATTAAATCAGCTATGGCATCGACAAAGGAAGAAGAAGAAGAGGATCCTGATTTGGATTGGTATCACAGTCATCGAACTGTTCAATTGCCTCCCATATCTTCGTTTGATAACCTTGTCAACAACGACACAACTAATGCTGGAAATTTAGTTGTGTCGTCTGAGATGCCTCAAACACGTGACCGTCAGTCACGTGTCGCTTCTGATAATTTTGATCGATCTTGGAATACCATAATACCTGGTATCCGGATGACCACGCAGTGTATCGAGAATTGTCCTTCTTTAGCGTTTGCTAAATCAACCACTTTGCAGAACGATTCTTCCCGGTTTGAAAATACATTGATCGCTAGTAACGAAACGGCCTGGATTACAAACACCCGTACACCACAGCCACAGCCAGAGCAGACACTTCCATCGTTAGTATCGCAGAACAATCAAACTTACAACGATCCTACGAATTTCAACTCTTATCAAGAGAGTACCCCTGTTTCGCCCTGGTTATATGGGGACTCTTCAAACCCGCATTCGGTCCCCCCTCCCTTTCAGCGAGGTTATAAACAACACAAATGTCCCACATGTGGACGCAGTTTTGCCAGATCAAATGACCTTCAGAGACATAGGGTCCGACACTTGAAAGATGAAATTGTCAGCACCCAAGGTCTTCCGCGTGGGATTGATGACAGGATTCAAGAATCAAACATCGTTGCCTCATCGGTCATTCCTCACGACCAGGCTATGCCCAATTATAGTATACCAGCACAATTGGTGAAGAGAGCGTTTAGGTGTCCGTACAACCCTGTTGCGACTGGCAGGTATGATGATTTAGCAATTGATGACTCCATGCTGCCTTTGTGTCATCCGACTGGGATCTTTTCTCGAGGTGACACGTACAAAAATCATTTAAGAGCATTGCATTTCATATATCCATCGGGAACGCGCAAAAGCGACCGGTCCTCTGTTCCTGGAAAGTGCCGGCACTGTCAGCAGGAGTTTGATAATGTAGAGGAGTGGCTGAAAAACCACGCGGGAAAACTTTGTGGAATAATCTGAGAGTATAGGTGGATTTGATATATTCGGTTTCAGGATGTCAGAAGGTGTCCGGTCTTTTTAGCATTGTAAATATTAGGAGTATAAGATAGACGGTAGGAATCGAAATGTTTAACATTGGAAAGTAGATGTTGGTTTGGAATGCGAGTTTAATATAAAAAGAGAAACGGCGGAACTGATGGTCAAGAACTTGAGAATAGAGGTTAAAAGCATTTCATTGCATCCTGTCACGCACTTGCTCAAGAAAATACAGTCATAGCTTGTAGTTTTACAGCGCTTTTGTATGAAATGGAAGCGTTAATTTAAGTGTCACGTGACATAATTGGCAGTGACAGAATTACGAAATTAAAGAATGACTGGGAATGGTTACCATGGATTACCCTTGGCAAGCACACTGGTGGAACTCGACACATTGGTAATGGAGTTTTTATTGATTTATAACAGTGACATCCGATTTCAGCACACTATTTTGACGCATTTTGATGGTTTTTTTGAAATGACATTTCCTGCTTTATCAAGTACATAATAACTGCTTCCAATTTGTTCGAACTAACCGTTTTTTCTGGGCGCGTTTGCAAATTGTACTGACAGCTTTTCCCTACGTGACTCTATGTTGCCCCATTTGATGCACGCATCGGCTTGTGACGATCATGGCTTCGACGCCAAACGCTGGAAATTCAAATCACCACCCGCCGCAATACAAATAAATGATGATGTTACTAATACGTAGCTAAAAAATTTCCTCTATCAACTATAACTATAATTATGCTGTTTTTCGCCGCGCGCTCAACGGCTGGCGTCAGCACTCTCAGGCCCCATGCCTACGCCTTGGTTGTTAACGTTGCGGAACATGTAAACACCGTTGTCACCGTCGACGTACTGGCATCCTCTAGCCACATTCCAAAACGATTTGAACATATTCTCGTCCGTGGAACGATAATGTTCCCCCATGACACGACGCACGGCCGCGGAAGCGGGCCGTGCGTTGTAGAATGGGATTCTGCTAACGAAATGGTGCAGAACGTGCGTCTCGATGATGTCGTGGAAAATGTGAGGTCCGACAAACGGCAATTGGCGGTCGATGGTGGCCGCTGCTCCCTTGGCGAAAGTCCATTCCTGGTTGTCGTAGTGCGGTAGAGTAGGGTCTGTGTGTTGCAGAAATGTGATGAATACCAGCCAGTGGTTGACCCACAAGTACGGAACAAGCCAGTTGATCGTTACGGACCACGCTCCGTATTTCACATACCACATCCGTAGCACTAGACACTGAGCTAGGATCCCCAGGTCGCTCAGCACGATGTACAATGCGTCTTTGGTCTCGAACAACGGCGAAAGCGGCCAGAAATGGTTACGCGTCCATGCGGGCGCGTCTGGGTACCGCTGGCCCGTCACGTTGGTCATCAAATGCATGAGCCAGCCGCCCAGCTGCTGGGCCACCAGCTCGATCAGCGTGCGGAGCGGGGAGTCTTCCGTTACTTCCGCTAGATCCGCAGCCCAGCCACGGGCCTGCCAGAACTCCTGTTTGGTGGGCGGCAAAAACACCATATCACGATGCAGATGGCCTGTGGCTTTGTGGTGTTTGGAGTGCGAGTACTTCCACGAGAAGTACGGAACCAGCAAGTACGAGTGCAATAGCCAGCCGACAAAGTCGTTGACGGCTCCGTAGTCGGAGAACGCCTGGTGGCCACATTCGTGTGCAAGGATCCAGAGCCCTGTACCAAACGCGCCTAAAGCCGCTGCGTAGACGTTCCAGAACACGAAACGTACCAGCAGAGGCGCCTGCACGGCTTGTAGCCAGGGGGCGATCCAACGGTGCGCGGCAACTCCTAGCGAGAGCATAGCGGCTATGTCGCGGGCCACGTAGCCCAGCGAACGCGGCAAACTCCGCTTGTAGCATTCGGCAGGTATCGCCGACAAGATCTCCTTGATGGTATAGTCTGGTACCTTAAAGACATGGCCATGGGCGTCTACTGCGTATTTTTGATCTTGCTGCTGCTGCTGTTTTCCAGCAGCAGTAGCGTTGGTGGCCGTGGTGTCTGGGTGGTACTCATCGCCAGTCTGTGGTGTACGGGTTTCTGTTTGTGTTTGCGTAGTAGACGCAAACCTCTGATAACTTGGTGCCATGGCTCTTTACACGGCAGTGGTAGTAGTAGTAGTAGTAGAAGCGCTAGCAACTACGGAATAATAAAAAGCTGGATTCCCTAACACAACACACAACTAACGAAACAATCCTAAGCGAGCGTCTCGCACGAACTTTCCAAAAACTATCCAGCCGAAGCTTTATCTTGAAACACGGGTTAGACTATATGGCGATTTCCCAGACCCATCTTTTCTATGTATCTTTTATATAAGTAAAGCTGCGTGGCGTGTTTTGGCTTGTATGGACAGAGATCCGCGTGATAGATTGACCGATGGGTAATTTTTTTTTCTTTTAGGGCAGATTTCCTTTTTT